ATAAGGGACCCGAGTCAGGTGTTCCAGGAGTGTTCGTTCATATTTATTTATTTAAAGGATTTCTATCCCGCCTTTTTCTTTTTTTTTTTAAGAACCTGTGCATCTTACATAATATTTATTATTTATTATTATTTATTTATTAAAACATGTTTATGCCGCCCCATTCGCCGAAGCCTCCCAGCCGTAAGCATTAAGGCCAGCGGTAGCATTAAGGCCAGCCACAAAGCACTCTTGAGAGTGTCCCGCACTGACGACGACTTTGCAGTGTTGTTTGAAGGTTTCGCTGGATCAAGCACAGGCTACTCCGATCCACGCAAGCTGGAGTCTGTTTGCGAGTACAAAAGCAGGAAATAAAGCCCAAACGAGAGTCCCAAGGTGGCACAGGTCCCGCTTTATAAGAGCTCCCGAGATTGGCTTGCTGTCTGGTCCGAGAGGTGAGGAGAGGGCAGCTTGCAGCGGCTTCCTGCCGCCACCTGCTCCAGCGCTTGTCCCGTCTCTGCCTCACCCCCTGGATCCTTGCATATCTGACAGGGCAAAAGCTTGGCTCACCACCTGGAAGACAGTGGGTTACGCCGACCTGGAGGTGAGCGACACCAGCCTTCCCCACCTGCCCTCCAGGTGGGCTGAGCCGCAGCTTCCCTAGTGCCCAGCCAGCGTAACTTTGCAGGTTTGCAAAGCCCCGGGTTGGATAAGGCAGAGCGAGCCAGGGGCGATTCCATCCCTGCACTTCCAGGCGTCTGCAGGGGAGCTGCTCCTTGTTCCGCTTGACCCCCCGCAGTCTTTCGAGATGCTCGAATAGCGAGACGCGGAGGACTGCGGCTGGCGTGCGTTCGTGCTGGCGAGCATGCATTTTGCAGAGTGCCTCCGAAGGCAGAGAGATGGAACGGACGAGGGCAGAGGACAGGCAGTGTGGAAGGAAGGGCTTGGCTTCTGAGGGGGGGGCGGGTTCGCTGGCCGTGACACTTTGAGGCGACGCGTCACCGCAGCAGAACCAGCCGGGGAGGGGGTGCGTGCGTGATGTCCACGGAGCAGCGTGAGAGGAGCAAGAAAGAGCCCACCCCCCCTGCTCAGCACCCAGGGAGAGCCACCTCCCGCTTGCATGCAACAAATTTATGCCAGGCACACGCAGCAAAGGCACAGAAAGTGAGACGGCCGGCATTTTACTGGCCTGGTAGAAACCTCCCGGGTGGCTGCGCAGAGCATTCCCTGCATCGTTCCAGCTGCTGCACCTGCAGAAGCATATTGCAAAAAGTTTGGGAAGGAGCAGCTAAACAGAGGAAAGGGCTGCAGTGACTCGCCTGGGAGGGAGTCTTGCTTAGCTGAGAAAAAGGGGAGGGAGGGGGGATTCGCCGGAGGTGTTTAAAAGGTGCGGAGGAAGTGGAAATGGGTCAGGGAATACTAAAAGGGATGCTGCATGAGAAAGGCACGTCAGGATCCCTGTGGGAATAGAAACAGAGAAACTGAGCGAGACAGAAGGGGTCTCCCAGGCCATCTAGTCTGACCCCCGGCTCCAGCTGGCTCCGCTCACGACATGCCCACCACATGCATGTCCAGCCTGTCCTTGAACACCCTCACCGAAGGGGCCTCAACCGCCCCCCATGGAAGCCCATTCCACACCCTCGGGGTCCTGACTGTCAGGAAGTGCTTCCTGGCATCCAAGCTGAACCCTGGTTCCCTGAGCTTGGCTCCGTTGGAACGCACCTTGCCCTCCATTACAGGGGGGAAAGGGGGCATGACCCACCTCTGCGTGGCACCCCCTCACATACCTGTATGTTGCCAGCAGATAATAATAACAACAGCCACTACTACTACAAGCATTTGTATCCCGTGCTTCCACACAAGCGCTGGGGACGGATTACATAATATAAAAGTCTCCTCTTCTCCTGGCTGAGCAGACCCAGTTCCCTCAGTCTCACCCCATACGGCCTTCCCCGCAATCCGGCCACCTTCCTGGCTGCGCTGCCTCACCTGGCTGTGTCCTTCCTGTAACGAGGGGCCCAGGAAGGATATAGCCGGCTGGGGCCAGCGCAGCGCAGGGCCGCAAGGATGGCTGCGTGCGCCGTGCTGCAGGTAGGTAGATTGATCTGCAGCATGCGCCCCGGACAATTAAATTCTGTTTGTGTTTGAAAGACACAGAAGAGAAAGTCAGGATGAGGCAGGTTGCCCGGAGAGGGATCCATGGCACCGCGGCAGCCGCTGGCACCATCCGCAGGAGCCCTGGTGCGGCTGTGGAAAGCAGAGTAAAGCCAGGCGTTGGAGGGAGGGGAATCCCTTTCTTCCCAGGTGCCGCCACTGCCGGAGCAGAGAGCTAAGTGTGGGAAAGGGGCGATTAATCAGACAAACCGATTCGAGGGGAAGTGGGTGGTTCCGGTTCCTGTCAGGGCAGGACGCGCGATGAGCGTGAGGCCCGGTTGGAATGGCAGCATTTCAAGGGCTAAAGGGAAGTTGCAGGGCTGCTAACCCCGCCCCCCCCCCGAAAAGATGTGGGGAGAACTCTTTCATTTTCAGTATGGATTAATTCATGAAAACGCATCTTCAAAATTAACGGGCTTTATCTGGAAAATGTAAATTCAGGGTCGTCTCAGTTTATGGATGTGTTTGCCTGTAAGATCTTCTCTGTGACCGGTTATCCTTTGCACACTGACAGGTGTGTGTGTGTGTGTGTGTACCCATAAAGCCACTCCTTGTGGTCTAACTCACATGACTCATGAACCAATTCACCAATTATTATTTTAAGCTGCTTCAGTACTGTCTGTCGTTCCAAGATTTCAAAGGGGCTTGTGTAAAACCACGTGTTGGGAACCTCACGAGATGCTCGGTCCGTACTTCCGTGCTCACACGCATGCAAAATACTTGTGTATGTGGACATGGGCAGGCATGCATGCTCCGCCTCTGTTGAGCGACACTTCGATGGCACCCTTCCACACCAGCAGCAGGTGGAATCCCTGTTTGAGCCTGGCCAGTGGGAACTGGCAGGGTGTTAATCCCCTGAGCAGTCTGAATGTTCCCAAGCATTCCGTAACCATCCAATAGCCGAGTCTGGGATCAGTGGCGAGTGAAATCAACCTTTCTCAAGCCAGTCCTGTAAAGAATAGCAGCCTGCATTGACCTCAAGCGGTTTTTTTTCTTGTTAATCAGGTCATCTGATTGCGGTATCCAAAATTTGGATTGTAAGCACCTCTGGGCAGGGCCCTATCCTCTCAGACTTGGTAAAGTGCCGGAGGCATTTATGGCAATAAATCTCAAACAAACCCCTTTCAGAGGGAGGGAAAACCATCTCCCCCTGTTTCTCACCAGGGCCGTGGAGGCAGATTGAGTGATTGAAATGCTAAAAACATTAAGCAGTCCGTTGCAGAATATTAAACTGCAGTTGTGTTTTTACGTACGAGAGAAATGCGCTTATAAATCTTGAGAAGGGTATGAAAGCTGCACCTGAACAGAATTCTTCTGTGCTGCAATAGACAGACTTGGCTGGGTAAAATCCGGGTTGAAATTCCCACTTGAATAAGTCTCTCTCGGACTAACTGACTTTCATCCCGGGGCTGCGGTGAAGATAAGTGGGTATGAATCGGCAAGACTTTTGTTTTCCTCTGGTTGGGGTTGTGAGGAGCAGGGAGGGGTGGTGATGCTGGCCGGGTGTTTCTACCAGGACAGGTTTGGGGAACAGTTTCTGTGTGGCTTCTGCACATTAAGCCCTTCGGATGGGCGAGCAAGACGTCTTAATAGGTGGAGGCTGGACCAGTGCTGCATCCCTTAAGAGATGCCCTGTCCAAAACGGGGTACATCCGGCAAATTTATGGAGCCATAAAGCTGTCACGGTTCTCGTGGAGGAAGGGATGGGTTTGCTGTTGAACGCTGCACGGAATAAATTGCAGGACTGTGGTATCCATTCCTTTGTGATATATCAGTTCTCTCGTTAATTGTGCCTGCCGTTTGCCAAGCCGGGAACCTTTGCACGGCTGCACGAGATGGGGACACGCACAGTTCGGGGGAGGCGGAAGGGAGGTGCAGGCCGGCTCGGCTTGCGTTTGACTTGGCTTTCCGGCCGGCATCCGTGGCAGCATCACAGCCTGGCCACAGGGCGATCCCAGCAGCCTCGCAGGCCAGGCGTTGGGAAAGCTGCACCAGACGCTGGTATGCAAATCCAAGATGCTAATGACCTGCCTTTGAAAATCCCTTACTGGGCTTGTTTCTCAAAATTGCTGTCCTCCTTGTTTTGAAAGCTGCTCAAGGTTAACCCCCAAAGGTCATCGGCTTTCAGACAGGGAGAAGGGGAGGAGAAAAGTTACTTGGCAGGTTTGGTCAAAGGTTTGATGCAGTCGGTGAACGTAGACCCGTGGCGCTGCAAAGCCCCCCCACCCCCTGGGTGTCTTGTGTAGGGCGGTGGGCTTCTGTCTGCTGTGGGGCCTCCCAGCTCCCAGAATATCCTCGAGGGCTTTTGCTGGCATGTGGTGCTGGCCGCGTTGGTGGAGAGGCCAAGAGCAAGCCGGCTGGGGCATCTACTGCGCCTTCCTCTTGCCCCCTGGGTTGCCAGGGGCAAGCCAAGGATCAGGTAGCAGAAGCAGGCAGGCCTCCTGCTGGGTGTGGGACCTCAGCAAGTGCCCAGTGTTTGAAACGCCAACGGCTGGTGCACATCGACAACAGCACCCTGGTGAGCGGTTGGACTGCTCCCCGTTCAGGGGGTCAGCCCGTGTCTTGTGCTGACGGGGGCCCTCCTGTGAATGAAGGCTTCCCTCAAGCAAAAGAATCCCCTGCATATGGAAAGCTAGCAGACCAGTCATTTCCCTGGCATGCTGGCTGTCCATGTGCGGGGAGTTTTGTGCGCGTATGAGAGCGGAGAAGCAGTCCGGCCATTGGAACCTTATGAAAAACCTCAAGGGCCCCAGTCCTGCTCGTGCAGGAGAAGGTACCGTTGCGGTGAGAAATGTGTGTCCGTCTTGCTGAGGCTCGCTAGCTGAAGCACCTCCTTAATTTGTCCCTGTCCCTTTTTGTCTTCACAGTGGGAACGCCTCTGGTTCTTAATCCTCGCTTTTTCTTTCTTCCTGACCCTGATCTGGTTTTATTTCTGGTGGGAAGTGCACAACGACTACAATGAAATCAACTGGTGAGTGGCGTGGAGGGCAGTGGGTGTGATGAAGAACGGAGCGGGTGGGCAAGAAAAAATGTGTTGTCCCGCCATGTGTCCCGGATCCTAATGCTCTCTCAGCAAGGGATGCTGTAACAGACCTTTGGGAAAACTTTTTGTTGTGAAATCTGTTCTCTCTTTTGCATCAGCAATGCCCATTTATACACATTTCCAGCCATGTTCACCTGCAACAGCAGAAAAAATGCCTTTGCAGCACCACGAAAACTAACATTGTCCTCCTCTGAAGCTCACCCCTTTTTAACTGAAATTTATTCAATAAAAAATCAATGCAGTAAAAATTGATAAAATTTATTTACTGAAACCAATCCAAAATAAAAAAGCTTTAGCATTGTTTGCTATAGTTTTTTTTTGTTGTTTCCAGAGTCCTCGTAATTCTGGCTCTAAAAGATTTTTTTTCTCCTTAATTTGGAAATGTTTTGCGAGTTCCACTCTTGCCAAGTTTCAGGACATGATCTTTGTGGTCCAAGACCTTTAGAACAGATTTGTTGTTCCCTGGAGTGCCATGGACTCTTTGCTCAGTGTATAAAAATATGTCACCATCATTCCAAACAGAAGTATTATATTAAAATTATTTTCATCAAAACCATTTCTGTAAAACAGAAGTCTAAAGCAGGGGTGCAGAACTAGTTTTTTTTTGGGGGGGGGTCCTCAGCTCAGCCCTCTGCAGGCCGTATGATATCAGGTGGGTATGCCCACGCAGGATCCGTCTCCTTCCTGCAAGTGGGTGCGTGCAGGGGAAGCCGCCGAGTCTCTTTTGCTTCTTGACAGACTGGTTGCCCCCAGTGCCTGGGCGCTCGTGTGTGCCATCTGGTTGTGCGCTCTGCAAGCAGAAGTGGTTAAAGTTTAGCAACGAAGGAAACCACAAACCTTTCCTAGGAATCTCCCCGAGTCAGGGAGACAAGTTCCTAGTCCCCACATCATGCTAAAAAAATTCACAGACTGAGGAAATCTGCCCTGCCAGGGCCTTTTCCCTTGTGTGTAATCTCTTTTTGGATTGTAAATCTGCAGGCAGAGACTGTCTTGTTTACTGGCTGGGGATAACCGGCTTTGGGAGACCCCCCCTTTTTCCCCCCCTTTTATCCTAAGCATGTTTACACAGAAAGAAGTCTAACAACCCCTAGCGTCCTCCAGGACTTTTCTTCCCCTTCTGTCCAAGCATGCATAGGATTGCATCCTAAATAAAATCTGAATTGTTTAGCCAGTGGGAGGTTTTGGGCTGTCATGACCTATCCAGGCTGTTGCAAAATCTATCAGCAAATACATCCTGACACCATCAGGGGTTCTGCGTGGTTTTAACTGGAAAGACTGATTGCAATATTCACATCAGCACTTACTGCTGAATGACACGGACTAAGGTTCCATATCATGGGATTAAATACCAGAGTTTATTGGTGGGTCACCCTAATGAAACATGGATGTTATTAAAGGGAAATCGTGCCTCATTCTTAGATGTCTTCTGGGGAGTTGCCAATAAGCCTTTTCTACTGACTTGATTTACCCTCTTTGTTCTCGGTGATGTTCTTTTCCGATAGCATTCCCGGTGGAAATTGTAAATGCTGTGACCGTTCTGGCTGGATCACCTCCCTTGTGCTCACAGAGTCTCTGGTGTTGTGCAGCATTTTCTGGCCTGAAATTGCTTGGCCAAGCAGCCCAAATAAGTGGAATCGCTTCGGCGTTCTTCGTTAGCTGCAGCATCCAGAGATTTCTGTGTTCCCATCATGTTTCCTGCATAAAGCGACACTCTGTCCCTGGAGATCTAAAAGAGAAAGGCCAGCAGGGTTCGTGTAGTCGTGAGGGAAAGGGGGCCATGGTGACCCCCCCCCCCACGTGCTGGTCATACAGTTTGCGGAACTACGTGGCACGTGGGCTCCTGTTATGTCCACACATTGGTGAGATGTGCTGCAGGGGTGTCTTTGGGACCCTGTGCTGTAGGGTTTGGGGTGCTTTCAGGGCGCCCCTCCCCCAGCCAAATATCTTGGATAACACTGGAAGCCACATGCAAGGAGTGCGATTAGGCAAACTGCACAGTGGCGGGGAGCGCGTCAGAAGGGTCTCCCGGGCCATCTAGTCTGACCCCAGCTCCAGCCGGCTCCTCTCATGACATGCTCACCATGTGGACGTCCAGCCTGTCCTTGAACACCCGCACCGATGGGGCCTCAGCCACCTCCCGGGGAAGCCCATTCCACACCCTCGGGGTCCCGACTGTCAGGAAGTGCTTCCTGGCATCCAACTTGAACCTTGGCTCCCTGAGCTTGGCTCCATTGGAGTGTGTCCTGCCTTCCTCTGCAGGGGAGAACAGGTCTCTACCCACCTCCATGTGACACCCCCTCACGTACCTCATACCCCATCCCTGCAAACTGGCCACCATCCTTGTGGCCCTGCGCTGCACCGATTCCAACCTTTCAAGCAGAAGCAGAAGCTGTAGATTCTTCCCCCCAGGATGACGCCTAGTTGGCCAGCGCCTGAAATCATTACTTTATTTCCACTGCTCCCTGTCAGATTTTTGACAGCTTCTGTTTCTTTCTTTTTTGAAAAGTGCATTGCAACCCCAGCCTGGCCCTTTCGCCTCTGCTCCCAAAGCTTGTGCTTTCGATGTTGCTCCAGGAGGCAAAGAGGAGGGCGTTGCGCGAGAGAGTGCAGCGTCACGAAGCTGCTTCTGCCGCGTGTGGTTAGCGTAAGGTGTGCCGGGTGGCCCTGGATCCATCCGCTTGCAGTGATCCAGCTGCTGCTTTCCTATATGGAGGATTTATTTGGAGAGAAAAGTAGGTATGGAGTCAGCACATCTGACGAGTCGTAAACATCCGGCTAGTTCCCACTGGTGTTTTGACTGAACCTGTTCTGCTCACCGCATCTTCATGGGGTTGGTGGGGAAGAGAAATCGGTGTGTGGCCTAAAAGGCCCCCTTCAGAGAGTCCGTCAAGGAAAAGCAAATTCTGCAGCCTGCCTTAATTAGACAAAACGGAGCACATTTGCATTATTTCTTTTTGCACAGCTCGTTCTGGTTCGGTTAGCTCTGGCAGGTGGTTGAGATGCAGAAAATCTCTCCCATCTGTGGCTGCTTCCCAGGTGTCAGGGGGGAATTTAAGCCAGCTTGGACTCGGCATCGCTGGAATGGCAGTTTTGTGGCGATGCTGAACATTCTGTTGGGGCTCCGGCACCTTCCCATCCCCAGGTTTCCTGCGGGGACATCCGCCGATTAGGGTTTAAATTCGTAGCCTCAAGAGCTCCAGTCTAGCAGATTGAGCAGCCAGGGGTGCTGACTGCAGCATATCCTGTTTATGATCTTCCAAACTGGGACATTTGCAACCTTGGACTGCAAAAGCCAGTTGCCCTCGGACAGGAGAGCAGAAGGGAAGCACCAGCGGCTTTTGCCCTCACCCAGGGCTGCTGTGATTGCCTTTATATCCCACCTCTTGTGAGGAACCTGGAGCAGCTTACATAACTCCATGATATTCTCACAACAACCGCCCTGTGAGGTCGGTTGGGCGGAGAGTCTGTGGCTGGCCCAAAGGCACCCCATGAGCTTCATGGCCCGGATCTCCGAGTCCCCAGTTCAACCCTCTTGCCACCACACCACACCGCAGGGGCTCTCCAGCCGCTGGGCACTCCAACCTGGCCCACCCCTCAGCCAGAACAGGAGGGGCCGTGGGGACCCCAGGAAGCACTCAGCTCCACTGGCCCGTGGCCCTGGGGCCGCAGGAGGACGGAGAAAGATGCCCTGGGGCCCCACCAGCCAACAGCAAGGCGGAAGTGCCTGCAAGGAGTGCTTGGCCTGGCTGAAAGGTGTGCGGCTCCCACCCCTGACTTCCTGCTTCAGTGGGGCCTTGCAAGACCAAGATGCCCCCCACTGCGTTTCCTCTCTCCCAGAGTCCCCTGCCTTGAGTTTCACGTTGCCTCTTTGCTTTCCTTGCTCTCTCTCAGTTGCTGCGAAGCACTTTGGGAGACAGCCGTTGTCCAAAAGGCAAGATAAAAAGGCAAAAACTAAGCAAAGAGCCTGGTTGCGTGTTGGAGAGACCTGGGTCTCAGAAACAGAAAACGGATAGGAAGGGCCTCGGGGATGCCTCTGAAGCTGGCGATCCCACCACTGGATTGGGAGGCTTCTGGGTGCAACAGCGAGATGCTTCTTCCGTGGAACGCTTCTCCCTCCCTCCCTCCCTCCCTCTGCTTGGCTGTGCTTGGGCCCCTGGCCCAGCCCATCCCCACTCGTCCATGCTTCGCACACCTGTTGCACACAGGTGCCAGATCTCCACGCGAGCCTCTTCCCCGGGACCCGGCTCCAGCGCAAGACCTCCCTCCCCATGAGACGGGAGAGCATATGGGCGGCCCGTCAGAGCCCCAGACCGCCTTCCCTTTGCAGCCACGGCGTTCCACCTGGATTCCTCCCCTCCCCGTCACTTCCTCCCCCGTTTCCTTCCTCTGTGTCACCTGGCTGCTGGCCTTTCCTCTTAACCTCAGCTGCTGAGCTGCAGCAGCGCTTGGCCGTTCAGGGGTGGTCCGTCCTCTGAGCTGGGCGTGGGAAGCGTGTCCTGGGACAGCGGCTGGGGGGGGTGCTCTGGAGACTCACTGCAAGTGGGGGGGGGCACTGCTTTTTCCCACGCCTCCCACTCTGCTGCCGGAGGTGGCGCCGTCACGTCACCCCTGGTCATGGGAGGGCCGGCCCTCCCGAAATCTGATATCCCCACAAATTGAGCTTGTCACCATCTTGTGCAAAAGTCAGTCGGTTGCGGCCCCAGTGACGGAATTCCTTTTCTTGAGGCCCCCCCAGAATCTGCGCTAGTTTGCCGAAGTGCCCTTACAGGGCATCGAGTGCCTAATTTGGACGCGTCTTCCTCTCTTTCCAAAATCTGCCCTGCCATTTCAAACCTTTCCAAGGAGAGGGACGGCTGGCGGCACGGAGGAGGAGGCCGCGCGTGCCTCCGTGATCCGAGATCGGATGTGAAAGGCGACATTAAAAATAGCACCGCGTTCTGTAGAGAAATAATCGGGGAGGAAATAGCAAGCCAGCTGAAGAGCTTTAATTACTGCGGAGCTTGTCCCGGGGGAGGGAGGCGGAAATGTCATTTCCCAAGAGTGCGCGTGGTGTTAAAAGCCTCACAGGTGTGCGGCCTGATAACACGGCGGATGGAGAGCGGGGACAGGCCCACCCCAGGAGGGCTTCCTGGGAGGAAGCGGCACCGCGGGAGGGTGCGTGGGGGGGGTGCCGGCACCGTTGCGCCCAGCGCGGCCCCCTGCTTCAGAGGCCTAGGCCCATGTGCTGCAGGTGCTGGGGAACGTGGGCGGGCGCGTGCTGCTGCGGTCATGTCCCATGGCGCACGCTTCATGTGCAGTAGGTTGGCGTTGTGCAAACAGAGTGCAGGCCTTGGTGGACCACGGCCCTGATCCAGCACGGGCAGAGAAGTCCGTTGGTTGAATTCGCAGACGACACTAAAACGGGAGCAGTGGCCACAACTGAGGAGCAGGTTCTCCAGATCCAAAAGGATCTGGACAGACCATGGAAGTGGGCAGGAGACAACAGGATGGCGTTCAATGTGGATAAGGGCAAGGTCTTGCACTTGGGGCATGGGAATGGGTGTCATAAGTGCAGGTTAGGTGACAAGTGGCTGGAGAGCAGCACTTGTGAAAGGGACCTCGGGGTGCTGGTTGACTGCAGGCTGAACATGAGCCAGCCGTGTGATGCGGTGGCCAAGAGGGCGAACGCCACTCTTGGTTGCATAGCCGGAAGTGTGGCTTCCAGATCGAGAGAGGTATTACTGCCACTCTACACGACTCTGGTGCGCCCGCAACTGGAGTATTGTGCTCAGTTTTGGCCCCTTGTTACAGGAAGGATATAGCCAGGTTGGAGCCAGTGCAGCATAGGGCCACAAGGTTGGTGGCCGGTTTGCAGGGAGAGCCATATGAGGTAAGACAGAGGGAGCTGGGTCTTTTCAGCCTGGAGAAGAGGAGATTCCAAGGGGGTCTGTTGGTGACATACAGTATGTGAGGGGGTGCCATGCAGAGATGGGTCGTGATCTTTTTTCCCCTACACTAGAGGGCAGGACATACGCATTCCAATGGAGCAAAGCTCAGGGAAACAATATTCAGGGTGGATGCCAGGAAGTCCTTCCTGATGGTTAGGACCCCCAGGGCATGCATGGAATGGGCTTGTACCAGAGGTGGTTGAGGCCCCATTGGTGCGGGTGTTCAAGGACAGGCTGGACATGCACATGGTGGGCATGTTGTGAGTGGACCCAGCTGGAGCCGGGGTCAGACTAGATGACCTCGGAGGCCCCTTCTGACTCGCTCTGTCTCTATGTTTCTGTGTTGGTGGAGGCAAGAGTCTGGTCAAGCGACAGTGGCCCCGTGGCCACCTTTCCCCTAATATGCAGCTGTGGTTTTCTCCTACCGGTACAACGGTAGGAGTTCAGGGGGTGGGAGGGTCAGCTCAGGCCCGTCAGATGTCTCGGCTCACAACTTCCAGGGGCAATCAATCTGCAGTGCCGAAGCAGGCAGTTGTGTTAATATTTCATTTTGAGGTGTGTGTCTTCACGAAGGGAAACGAGAGGAAATACGTCGCACAAAATCAAGTCACGTAAAAGGATCAGGTTTGAATATATCCCCAGCAAGGGCAAAATATATATTGCTTTTAGGACATGTCAGCCTGTGTCCATTCTATAGGTTCTGATTTTTGCTTGTGCATCTGATTTGTAGTTTCTCTTGATAAAGAGATGCGTCTCGAAACTCGTTGGAAACCAAGTATTGATTCAGCTGAGCCTTTGTCTCGTCTCGTGTCGTCTTGTCTCGACTCACTCTGTTTCGTTCCTGCTCTTTCTTTTTGGCAGCAATTTTGTGGTCCTCGTTCTTGTGGGGGAACTTCCCCTCATCACCGGACCTGGGGCAGAGTTTGGTTTGACACAGGAAGCGTCACCACGAAGGGGGCCCACATAAGAACACAAGAAGGGTCCTGCTGGATCAGGGCCAAAGTCCATCCAGTTTCGCGTTCTGCACACACGGAGCGAACCCGGCTGCCCGCGGGGTCCCTCAGTCAGGGTGGGTGCAAGACCTCCTCCTCAGCAGCTGATGCTCGCAGGCAGGGCAGCTCTGGGGAAGGAGGGAGCCCATGCCCAGCGAGGCTTGTAGCCACGGAGAACCTCCCCCCCATGAATCTATCCAGTCCCCTTTTAATGCCACCCAGATTGGCAGCCATTCCCACTTCCTGTGGCAGCAAATCCCATCGTTTAACTGTACACGGTGCGAAGAGCAAATTCCTTTATCTGCCCGAAGCCTCCCATCCATCAGCTTCATGGGATGGCCCCGGGGTCAAGTGATATGGGAGAGGGGGGAAATGTCTCCCTCTCCGTTTTCTCTGCGCCAGGCATCATTTTAACGAACTTCATCGTGTCCCCCGCTTCCTCGCCCTTTTTTCTGAGCTGAACGGCCCCAGGTTGGGCAGCTGCTCCTCAGAAGGGATCTGCTCCAGGCCCGGATTCTTATCACTACCCTGCCTCGTCCTTTCTCCAATTCGGGGCCGCCCAGGATCATGTCTGGGGGTGCCACAGCCACCCCCGGTGCCCTGTGGCTTCCCTAGCGAGCGCCGTGGCTCCCTGAAGTGGCGCCTTCAGCACGGCAGCCGCGGTCCCCTGGCCAGGTCACCCCACGTGGCCACCCGGAGCCAGCCGCCTGGTTCGAGCTGCAGGTGCAGCCGGGGAGCTTTCCCCAGCCTACTTCTTGGTGGCTCGATCCGATCTTTGCACTGAGGTTCCCTCTTCCCTCGTCTTTTCCTTTTTAATTAACGGTGGGTTTTACTGAGCTTTATTAGGAAGCGCGTTTCCATTTAAGTGCAAATTTTGACATTTCCCATCTGCGATGGAAGGGGAGAGGCTGTCTGCCGCCCCGGTGGACAAGGGTGCGGGGTGTTCCGTTGGCGGGACGCTCGTGCTGGCACCTGCTCCCTCGTGACACGTGCGGCTGGTCGGGTGGCATGGGGGGCTCCGTGGTGATGAGGCGGGGCGCTTTGGAGAGGCGGGGTGCCTCGTGGAGAGGCGGGCAGGAACCCGCAGTGTCAGCCTGAATGGGTTCGGGGCAGGCCCGCCCGAGCCCCAGCGAGCTGCACCAGGCAGAGCCAAGAAGGAAGAGAAAGAGCCGTGTGGGACTGAACCACCCGGGAAAGCCCCAGGGAGGGCATGCGGGCCGTGGGGCTCCCTGCTCATGCTCCCCAGAAGCAGAGACTGGGCCTTCTCGCCTCCCTGCCGTTTTCCTCCACTGGGACAGACGCGTCCTGTCCATGGCAGCCCAGCTCAGCTGCCGTACGTTCCTGGCAGGGCTTCCCTCGTGGATCCATCCAACCCATAGCTGGTCTCCCTCCCTCCCTCCTGCCTCTGACCTTCTCTCCGGGAAGCCCTGCCTCCTCATGACGTGCCCAAAGTAGGACAGCCTTGGCTCTGCCAGTTTTGCTTCTGCGGACAGCTTTGGCTGGAATATAATGTAGGCCGCTTACCCTACCAGTGATGCTGGCTTGGTGTGGCTTCCTGAGCGAGGCGGGCCAGTCCTGAGGCTCGGTAGAGGCTCGGCCACTCCTGTCCAGCTCGCCTGTGTCTGGGTGGGAGAGCTAACCCTCTTGCACCCGAGGCTTCACCAGCACAGCGGAGGCGCACGGCACAGCTCCTGTGGCTTATTCCTGTCACGTGCGCCCTTCCTGCCCTTTCTTCTCGAGACGAGGACTGCACCCCTCCGTCGGGTCTAGCAGAGTTCCAGGGACACTTGCGGCCTGCATCCGATCTCTCTCTCCTTCCTCCCTTCAGGTTTTTATACAATCGAATGGGATACTGGAGTGACTGGTCCATTCCAGTCCTGGTGACGACAGCGGCCGGGTTCACATACGTCACGGCATTACTGGTAAGCGGCGTCACATCCCAGTGAAAGGTTTTCTCACTGGGGATCGAAGGGTTGTCGTGCAGGGAGCCAGGGAGCGCAGCGGCTCGCGTCCTGGTCCCCTCTCTTGGAGACACCAGGCAGCAAAAGCGGGGCTTTTTTATGGGACGCTTGAGCGGACCCAAACTGGAAGGGCTGGCAGTGCCGGTTCTGCCCTGTGATTCTCAGCCTGCCCTAGCCGAGGCTTAGACCAGGTGCCTCCTGCATTTAGTCCCCTGGGAGAGAAATTTGTTCTTCGCCTGGCAGCCCCTGCTCGGGGAGGAGGAAGGAATGCAGGGGAAAGGAGGGAGGCAGAAAGAGGAAGGGGGCCAGGATCAAACAAGCCACGGTGGCTTAAAGAGGACCAGTTGCACTAGCCATGGGGGCTTCTTTTAATCCTCAGCACATGCTGGTGCATGCTGGGTACCATGGCCTAATTACCTGCCTGGCTGTGGCCGGGAATGTTGTCCAAACCCGGGCATCATGGCTTGTCTGATAGGGGAAGAACCCTCAAAGAACCCATGGCCTGTTTTGTGTTGTTCTTTTAAATCCCTGGCACCTGTCAGGGTAAAACCAGCCACCGTGGGTTATTCAAGCCATGGTGGCTCGCTGTGATTGTGCAGACTGGTTCCTTGAAAAGAGGTGATCTCCGGCCCTGCCCATCAGTGAGTTTGCGGACCTATGCAGACATCCCCCCCGTCCCCTCCAAGAGGTGGTCCACCAGGGAGTGCAGCCCTGAGCAGAACCAAGGTTGCCCACCCCTAACATGGGCAGAGCGCTTTTGGCTCTGCCTTCCCCAGGAAGGGCAGCAACGGAACCGTTCTTGGATGGCAGCGCTCAGCCGGCCGTGGCATGTCGAGCTCCCCTTTGGCCCCCTGGCTGAACAAACAGCCGCGGTGCCAGGGTTTCCCCCCGGAGCACCCTTCCTCTCCTCCATCCAATCTTGTTTACAGCCGCTGGCCAAACTCTCGTGTGCTGATCACTCACCGCTCCTTTCCAAGGTTCCTCGCCTGCAAAATCATGGCAAGGATTGGCTGCATTTGGCTCAGGATTTGTACAAGCTTTGTGTCCAAGTCCCTTTCTGTATGTCCTGCTGCAGGACATATCCGTTCCCCTCTGTCCCAAATTTAAAATTTTTAGGATTACAGAAGCCTTGGGCTCTGCTCCTTGTTTTTCATCTGTTTTTCTGAAAAAGGGGCATGCTTCATGTCCGCTTGGTGCTGCAGAGGAGAGAAATGCCAGCATGCACCATCTTTTCCTTTCTTGTGTTTTCAACTTCTTTTCCTGCTTCTCATTAACTGACAAAAACGAAGAGCTGCCAAATTCCTCAGAGTTCAGGCAGCCTGTAGCACCACCAGTGCAGAGATTACCAAGATTTTAAAATGCAGTTCAGTCAGTGCATTTATAATTGTTGTCTGAATGAATTATACCTTGAAATTTGACACGCCACACATGACGGCTCGTTCATCACATTGTTGGACACGGTGCGTTTTCTGTTCCAAAAATAACCAAGTGACTTTAGAACTGTACAGGGTGTTAAAAGAGAAGTATTGCAGATTTTAATTCCTCCCCTGCACGCTTTTCCGTTTTCACCGTAATGAAACCTGGCTTTTCCTCCATGGTTGCAGCATGCCTGGAAATTCCACATTGCTTAGGTTTGAGTCCAAAAACAAAGTGGTCCTCGTGAATCGGGGGAGTGGGGCTTGTGGCGAGTGTTTTGGTAGGTGGCTCCCTTTGGTCCTAGCCGACATGGCTAGCGGAGCAGGTGGTGAAGGCTGGAGACAGAAACGTCTGGCGGGCTGCAAGTTCTGCCCTCCCATCCCTTTAGCCTGAAGCCTGGTAGGTATCCTCATGGCTGGTGTTCAGTCGGTCTGCTCTGTGGCCGTATTTTATTTGAAATCAGGTTTCAGCTGCCTTTGGGGGGGGGGAACTTTTGTGGGTGGCCCTCACGTTCTTATGCTGTGCAAGTGAGCCCCCAAAGAATTACTGTTATTAATTTCGCTTCTGTACCCGCCATAGCTAGAGCACTGGACTGAGCATTCCTGGGAAAATGACTGTATTTTGTTTGATCCAGCCGCATATTTCCTGTGGATGCCAAAACTACATTTTGCACCTTCTGATCCCCAATGTTACAGAGCTGTTTGGGATTATATATATATGGGATTTTATCACTTTTGTATATTGTCCCATATATATATGTAGATAGATAGATAGATAGATAGATAGATAGATAGATAGATAGGGACTGCAGGTGGCGCAGTGGTTTAAACTTTGCACAATGAATTTGCAATTTGAATCTGCACAACAGGGTGAGCTCCCGTTGCTCCGTCCCAGCTCCTGCCCACCTTGCAGTCCGAAAGCCTGCAAATGCAAGTAGATGAAAAGGCGCCACTTCGGTGGGCAGGTAACAGCGTTCCGTGCACCTCGGTGTTTGGTCATGCCGGCCACATGAGCACGGAGACCATCTGCGGACAAACGCTGGCTCCCTCGGCCAGGAAACGGAGCTGAGCACCGCCCCCGAGAGTCAGGCATGACTGGGCTTAAGTCAAGGGGCAACCTTTCCCTTTACCTTTACCCTTTTTTATATATATATATATCACTTTTGTATACTGCCCCATAGTCACATGGCTCTCTAGACAGTTTACATAGTTTAAAAAAAAACCCAACAGTATAAAACATCATAAATAACACAGTTAAACACAATTTAGACAATTAAAACCACAATATCAATAATAAATAACATCCTAGCAGGAACACCAAATAATAGTTTAACAACAGACTGGAATTATGTTAAATGTCATAGCTAAAGTTTACATTAAAAGTATAGTTAAAATTAAATTCCAATTAAAATAATCAACAATTAAAATGCTCCGTAAAAAACAAGTGTCTTAGTCTGGTGTTGGAATAGGTTTAAGGGACAGCGCTTGATTCGTATCTCTGGGAAGTCGGTGTCATAGATGGCATCAGTCAGTACTTGGTGGCGCCAAGCGTATGATGCAGCGACGTCCACGATGCAGAACAAATCGGTGCAGATCGTTAATCCACGTTCCCTCACTGATGCTTGGCCTGATCTTAGAAACATATTATTATTATTATTATTATTATTATTATTATTATTATTATTATTATTACATTTCTATGCCGCCCCTTGCCGAAGCCTCGGGGCGGCTTACAACACAATAAAATACATTGAAATACAATAGAACATAATGAATTACCATTAAATACAAAAAATACACTGAGTTACAAACATAATAATATAAAATTAAAATTATCAGTATCAAATAAGTAAATAAATAATATAGGAGGAGAAAGAGAAGGAAGAAGAAGTTGCCCTGGCCAGATCATATGTTTTAACAATTAAAATGATGTTTAAATAAAAAGGTCTTTACCTGGCGCCAAAAAACCAGTAACGACGGTGCCAGGCGGACCTCTTTGGGGAGTGAATTCCATAGGTTGGGTGCCACCTCAGAGAAAGCCCTCCTCCAAGTACTTACTCTCCTAATTTCTTTCATGGAGGGTTCCCGGAGAAGGGACTCTCCCGCAGATCTGAAGGGGCGGTCGGGCATATACGGACGTAAGCGCTCGTTCAGGTAGCCAGGACCCAAGCCGTTTAGGGCTTTATAGGTCATCACCAACACCTTGAATTGGGCCCGGGCTTCAATGGGCAGCCAGTGAAGCTGACGGAGGACTGGAGTCATGTGAGCATAATGCCCTGTCCCCGTCAGCAACCTGGCGGCTCTATAGAAACAGAGCGAATCAGAAGGGGCCTCCCGGGCCATCTAGTCTGACCCCTGGCACCAGCCGGCTCCGCTCACGACGTGCCCACCATGTGCACATCCAGCCTGTCCTTGAACACCCGCACCGAGGGGGCCTCAACGATGACGAACCATCTTAATTGTTCTGGCTCAGTTTCTAAGTGGCTGGGTGACATAGGCCCATTCTGGCCTTTTATACTGAAAAGTGTCACATTGAAAATTCTGCTTATATATTAAAAATGCGAAGTCTATCAGTTTTAACTTCTAGTATGTTTTACTCGATTGCATGTAAAACCTGGATTTGCCATTAGGAATGCGAAGATCGGACTCAACTCTGGCTCCTTTGTGCTCGCCGGACTTCTTTTCGAGCCAGGAAATGATCCCGGTCGAAAGTGAGTCCGTGAACACTTGGGAACATGAGCGGCTGCTTGGTGCAAAGTGTTTAAAGTATGTAATTCTTTGTGCAAAATACATGAAGTGTGTCATTCTTTGCACAGATTGCACAAACTACGTCATTCTTTGCACAAAGCGTGCAAAGCCTTTGCAAGAACTTGGCTTGCGCTTGCTTCCTCCCTGATGCCCACATAAACGCTCAGCGTGAGGCGCGCTTATGGGGGAGAGAAAGTGGGCCAGATCTGAGGATCTGAGCTGAGGAGATCCGACCGATTCCCAGGCCAGACGGGGTTCCTCACCCGTCCCTAGCCCCACCAGGGTTCTGTTCTGGGGACTCAGCGTGGCGGTCTCGCAGTGGAACTGGTTGCTGCAAAGGCTTCCCAGAGGATCGGCCTGCTCTGGCTACTGGCCATGGAGTTAATAGTCACCCCACACCTGGATGCCAAGTAGGAACAGCTGGAAAGAGCAGTGGCTTTCTTCCCATGCCAGGGGACCACGGAGACACCGGCTTGGCCACTGCGGGAAAAGGGAAGCGCAGAATTAGGTGGTCTCTGGGTCCTGCCCAGCAGGTTGCTCCCAGGCCGACGGCGAAGCCATGTGAAGACAGGGCCCCGATCCAGCTTGCTTCTGCCACTCTTCGAGGAGCATCTTCCATCGTGTGCTCCCTTGCCTCCGGCGTACCCACCAGCCCGTCTAACTGGCTTTCTCCATCTTTCAGATCTTAGCATTATGTCACATAGCGGTCGGACAGCAAATGAACCTGCACTGGATTCACAAGGTAAGTTGCTTTTTGGGATTTCTTTCTTTCTTTCTTTATTAAAACATTTCTATGCCGTCCCTTGCCGAAGCCTCGCGGCGGCTCACAACACAAAATAAAATACAATAAAATACAAAAATAACCATATAAAATTAACAATATAAAATAAATAACAATATAAAAGAAGTCGCCCTGGCCAGATAAATCAGCAGATATTGTTAACAATTAAAATGACGCTTAAATAAAAAGGTCTTCGCCTGGCGCCGAAAAACAAATAATGACACCTTGGATGCTGACACCTTGGAGCCCCGGGGCAGGGCAGGTCCTGAGGCAGGACCGAGGCGGCACACTTGAATGCGAGGGGGCGTTCGGCCAGGTTGGCGCCTCCGTCCCTGCTGCCACGGGCCAGCTCTTCCAGGGATGATGTGAGACTTTTGTGGACAAGAAAGGACACCCTGATGTAGAACGAGTGCTTTTCAACGGGGCTTTCCCAGGAGACATTCCCAGCATTCGGCTCACGCCCACGAAGCCGCCCGATTTGTCTCTTCTGGGTCGTCCTTTTCTCACCTCTCCAAATGAAAGCCACGCTGGTTTTACGACGAGACTCCAGATCTAAGTGGGAGAGGAGATAAAGGAAGACTGTGGCCACTTCCTTTCAGCCTGAGAGACAAGAAAGGGAGGAAAAAGCGTGCTCCAAAGCGTGACGTTTTTGTGATAGAATCGGAGGCAAAGAAAACTCCTTAGATTTTGCCTGCACTGTGAAACATACCGGCTTATTTGTGGCTCGCTTTAAAAAGACTTCTGTATCAGCCTGTTTGCGGGATTAATGGCGCACCTTTTAAGGAGAGGTAATTCCATCGGGCAGTATCTCCCCTCCCAGCCTTCCCCCTCGCGAAGCAGCAGAAGAGAAGCAGTCCTTTTAAATGTCGTTCTCATTTTGAAACGTGGAATGCCTGGCCTGGCTTATTTACACACTTAATTTGCAGACGAGCAGGGGGTGTGCCCAGGGGCCGGCTCTCCATGGCTAGGGAAGTACAGAGGTTGTCCAGTCCATTCCAGCTGTGTCCTGCAGATTGGCAGAGACCTGTTGTTTCGTCATTCACTCATCGATGGAATTGGATTTTGCATCTATCGGCTCTCCCCAAGAGGCCCAAAGCACCCAAAATGCACCTTTTCACCATTCGGTAATTCACAGAGGAAAAGCACATTTTTGGTCTGTCTCTCTGTGTGTGTGTGGTTTTTTTTACACATTTTTCTATGGCTTCATTTATGTAAAAGTATGCAAAATTCAAACCGTCTATGGATTCTTGGGAAAAGCAGGTCTGCTGCAGAATCTGTGACTTCAGGTCTGAGAAATCCAAAATGCAAATCCAACATTCCATTCCGTGACTGGGTTTGGACAACCTGATAACCCACTTTCAAGGACTGAGTTGAATCTGGCTTGTTGAAACATGGGCTGCTGTGTTGTCTGAACCCGGCTGATAACAGACCACAGTGAACAACCCACAGTTCACAACCCAACAATACACCATGGCTTCTCTTAACAGATGGCTTGTTAGCCCAGCCATGTGGGTTGTTCCTGGGCACCTTATGTTTGAGCAGGAATCCCATGTTTTAACGAGAACCCGCATGGAGCCCATACTCAGCCCTTGACCTGGGTTGTCTGAACCCTGTGGTTGCCTCAGATCTGAGACTGGAGATGGGGGAATCTGGGCACTGAGAAGGCTGGCCTGCATCTCAGCACAAGCACTTCTGAGAGGCACCCCACATCTCCTCAGAAGGCCAAAGAACTGAGGGAGTGTCTCCTTATTCCAAGTATAAACTAAGGCCTCAGCAGAAGCACTGGTAAACCTCTGGGGAACTCTTCCAGGGGGGTCAGGAAACCCTGCTGCTCAGTCTCAGTGGGTGGACCATTGAAACTGGTCTCCTGCTCCTGCAGAGATCAGAAGAGGCATGATGTCCTCACACGAAAATCATCTCACTGGAGTGTTCCCGCCTCCCCTTTTGTCCTCCAGTATGGAAAAGACTGGAAGTATCTCAGTTCAACCCAAATATCCTGGTTTAAACCAGCCAGAAGTTATGTCCAAGCCAGGCCAAACTATGGTTAGCTTAAACGATGGTTTATTGAAAGAAGCCAAGATGAGAAACCGTGGCTTGTTCTTAACTCGTTTTGATAAACTGCAACTCTTTCACTTTGCTCAGCAACAGGGATGGAAATACAACAGAATCTCTTGCCTTGCAGATTGGGTTGATAACAACCTTAATATCGACCGTTGTGACGATGTGTTCTGTGGCCCAGCTGTGGGACGATGAGTGGGACATGGTAGTCCTCTCACTACAGGTAAGTCACAGGAAGGTGCGCCTCGTTTTTGCTTCCACTTTTGTTTTCGTGCAGGGCTGGGAAGCGGCCATAGACCTTTGCAAAGCTGCGCTGCCAAAGCGCAGCCCTTGGAACGGATGAGGCAGCTGCATTTCACACTGGAAGCCTTGCAGTCATGCCTGCTGCCGTCGTGCTGTGGAACTCGTGGCCGCAAGAGCATCTGGCCCAAAAGGCTTTGGCAAAGGCGAGAGGCATCGGTGGCTACGCGGAGAGCAAATGCATTGGCCGCGGGGGACAAGAGGCGCCGCAGGAGCCTGTCCAACCACCAGCTTGGATCTGTTTTGCACGGTGCTGCCCAGTCACGACTGCCCCAGGGCCGATCCTGGGAAATGCCTCCAGTGAGTGGTCTGAGGACTCTCTGCTGGGGGTTCCCCACCGTGTGCTCCGTCCCGCCTGCTGCCGCATCTTCTTGCTCACAGAACTGCCATTCCTAGATTCCCTGGAGGGGAGAAATAACCCTCAAACTGGTTTCTAGTGGGGCAGATGCACCTGAAGTGAACCAGTGGCAGGGGAACGGAGGGCCAGCCCTGAGGCCTTACTTGGCGCTAGGACTAGGAGCAGAATCTTTGGTCCACGTCTGGTCCCTGTTCCATCTCATTCAGTACCGTCTGCACCTAGATCCTCCAGCCTGGCACCCTCCGGATGGGTTGGTGTACCCCTGCGATCACCCCCAGCTATCCATGGGCGCAGTATTCCCACTCATTTGGAGTAGGGCTCCAGATTGGGAGGGGAAGGTCAGTACCAGAGGTGAGGAGAAGGTAGATCAGCATCTCCCGGTCAGGTTCTGGGAGACCCTCAGTAGATCGAAAGGAGTTTCCAGCTCATGCTGCTTAGCAATGGCAGCCACAGCCGAATCGCTCTCCTACCCTGAGCTGTCCTGCCGAAATGAAGACACTTTGGAGGGGTTTTTGTGCGGAAGGACTGTGAGCTGCATTCAGCGCTGTGACGTGAAATAAATCGAGGAGTGTCTTCTGCCCCGGGGCCCAGTCGGTACATCTTGGGGTTCTGGTCAAGCCCTTGGGAGCGTGGCATCGGCTGCTCTGCATGGCCTGATCCTCTAAGGGCTCGGACTGCCTTTCCCAGACGTGAGGCCTGAACCTGGGACGATGGAGGCGCAGGCCCGGAGCGGGCAGTTCCTCCATCGATCCTGAATGACCCACACGGACTGGCCGCTGTTCTCCAGGGTTTCACGCAGAGAAAAGCTCTTCCCTGCCCCTGAACTGGAGGTGCCCAGGATGGAAGCGGGGCCCTCCAAAGCAGGCACTCCGCTGCCGCCCCGGGGCCCTTCCAGGACCGTGCCAGGCTTCGCTGCACGCTGGCGCGCCCTCCGGCCTCTGATTTTGAGGATGAAGTTTGCCGGGGAAGCAGCGCACCCTTCGTCCTCCCGCGGTTGTCATGGCGATTCTGAGCACCTCGTTCTCTTCTGCGGGTTGGCGGATTGCAGCCTTGTCGTTCGGAATGGGGACTGCTTGAACTCCGCTTCTCGTTCCTCCGTTTCTGCTTGAACTCTGTTTCTCCTGCCTGCACCCTTGGGGCTTCCTGCAAGGAGGCCCGGGACAAGGAGGCCCGTCCCAGCAGTGGTCCCTGGTGGCTGGTTGCAGAGCGGGTATCCCAGGCTGCCAAAATGCATTTCTGGGCTACGTTTCCATCCTGCATCCTCCCCTCTTGCAAGGGTCCCAGAGCCACTTACACCATCCTCCTCCTCTCCGTTTTGCCCTCACAACAACCCTGCGCGGTAGGTGAGGCGGTGCCTGGCCCAAAGCCCCCCTGGTTCCCCTGGACTCAGTGTGACACTCCCACGGCGACGCCACCCGGTTCTCCACATCCCCGCCCAAAATCAGAAGGCCGCCTCGGTTGGAAGGTTGAAAAGCGTTTTTGCCCGTCCCGCCCCTCTCCGTTTTGCACAAGTGGCTTTTCGGGGCGTGCGACCTCACAGGCCAGCTGTGCAGCTGACGGAAGGAAGCGGGTCCAGTGAGAGAGCCGAGTCGGAACCACAGAGCTGGGTGGGTCCTCGGCTCGGCGCCGCATGCCCACGACCGCAGCACCCCCAGCAGCCCTCATGCGAGCTCTGCCCTCAGCGCCTCGCCCTCTTGACCGGCGTGTTTCTCCCAGCCTCTGCTTTCCTGCCGTTCCCACCCCTCGGCTGGAGGCCTGCCCTCTGGGGCAGCGAAGGACCGCCCTGCTCCGTCTTGTGGGCGGCAGCCCTTCGGATGCAGCCCCTTCCCCGTGCTCAGCTCACTGGGACCTTGTGCAGCCTGGGGAGGATCCCCAGCTCCTGAGCGGTGGCTTAAGAGCTAACTGGTCCTTGCCTTTCGCCGTGATGTCGCTCTCATCTCTCTTGTTAGCATTCCCCGTTCGGCAAACGCACCTGCATTTTAACTCTTTCGATCTCTCTGTTCTCATTCCTAGGCAACCGCTCCTTTCCTGCATCTCGGAGCCCTTGTAGCCGTCACGGCCCTGTCCTGGTTGGTCTCCGGGCAGTTTGCACGAGCTGAAAGAACCAGTGAGTAAACGCTGGGCCCCAGCTTGGTGTGGAGGGAGGGCAGAATTATTATTATTATTATTATTATTATTATTATTATTATTATTATTAATAATAATAATAATAATAATAATAATAATAATAAACATTTCTATGCCGCCCCTTGCCGAAGCCTCGGGGCGGCTTACAACACAATAAAATACATTGAAATACAATAGAACATAATAAATTACCACTAAATACAAAAATACAAAAAAATACACTGAGATACAAACATAATAATATAAAATTAAAATTATCAGTATAAAATAAGTAAATAAAGACTATAGGAGGAGAAAAGAGAAGGAAGAAGAAGTTGCCCTGGCCAGATCATATATTTTAACAATTAAAATGATGTTTAAATAAAAAGGTCTTTACCTGGCGCCGAAAAACCAGTAACGACGGTGCCAGGCGGACCTCTTTGGGGAGTGAATTCCATAGGTTGGGCGCCACCACAGAGAAAGCCCTCCTCCGAGTACTTACTCTCCTAATTTCTTTCACGGAGGGAATTATGTGTGGCAGAGAAGGTGTGAGCCCCCGTGGCGAGGGCAGGGGCTTAGCCAGTGTTTGGCGCTTCTTGAGAAAACTTCGAGGAGCGCTGGTCACGATTCGGTCCTTCTCTGTGCTGCCGGACCCCTTCAACACACTGCGGGGGACCCTGGAGGAAAGAGAGAAACCTCGTAGGTGGTTGGGTGCAAACGAGGGACCGTAGAGCCCGCCTGTTTATCCTGAACCAAAGTCAAGAAGTTGGGAAGGCTAAGCCAACAGCAGCCCTGAAAGTTGACCAGGTTTCACCCACTATTCCCACAGGGGCTAGAAACTTGGAGTGAAAATTAAAAGCCGAGCTTCACAAGATGTTGAATTCTGCACGTGATGCTAAATTCCACTCTTTCATGGCACAGACAAAATTGCTGGATATTTGTATTTCCGGCAAGGGCTGTTGCATTACTGTTCCCCTTAGGTTCTTTTTATCGGCACATTATTAGCGAGCTAGAGAATATTGCTTTGCTAAGCTCAGTTGTTTCTTGGTATATATTACACCTCTGTACTCCCCTGGAAAATGCTTAATATTATTCTGTCTCCCAGTGATCATTCAAAGGGTAGTTCCTGCACAGAAATGACCGTGCTGCTCCAGACCTTGCATTTTCCAAGGCTGGCTGAACCATGGAGGCTGGAATGTGAGCAAAAGGTAGAGCTAAGGGGGAAGTGATAGGCTGCAGGCAAAAGCGAAAAGCAGGCAATCTCCAACTTTCTGGAGATTAAAATCACGGCATTCTTCTCCCGCTTCTGTTATCCTGTGGCGCACCCCCTCATCACTGAAAGTTCCACTCTCACCGGCTCCAGCCTGTAATTATCTCTTCCTCTATTATCTGCATTCTGAAATGCAGGCACTGGGAGCGCATTAATGTGCGACTTCGTCTAATAGCAAACTCAGGCCGTGAGATCCAGCAGGGCTGCTGGGAAACAAGAGGAAGAAGAGCATGCTTGTGCATGGAAGGCTTGCACAAAATCCGGGGAACAGCCTTCCCGGAAGCGAAGCGAACTTCCGTCACAGTGTGATGGTGCGCTGCAATTTTCTGTTGCAGATCCCACGCCTTTTCCCTGTAATAACCGTCCCTGTGCTGCCACGGCCGGAGGCAGTGCTATAGGTCTTGAACCAGCAAGAGCATCCTTTGGCAGCCGCGGTATATGGAACAACAGCCTGTGAGTTGCAGGGCAGTGTAGCAAATTCACGGGCCTGCATTTATGGTGTCCTTTGCACCTGAGGCCGCAGTTCTCCCTCCTGCTTGGAGGTCTTGATCCAGAGATCCCAGGGAGGGAGGGGGAGAGATCTGAATGGAAGAGTCAGGAGAAACTTGCTGGTGTTCTTGAGCCAGAAAAGAGTCTGCTGAACGTGTGCGCGAAGCCGAAGCAAAAGAATGGGACGTCTTTACAGCAGCCTTCCTGAACCTGGGGCCCCTGGATGAGCGGGACTACAACTCCCACAGTCCCTCAGTCTTGCTCCACCACAGTGGGGAGGCGCCAGGCTGGAGAAGGCTGCTGTCCAGGGAGGTCTTGGGCTTCTTGTCCCCCTTTATCGACCTGGAAGGACCCTGCACTGAGGTGCCCTTCTCCCTTTCTCCCCCTCTTCCCTGCAGCTCCCCAGATGCTGATGTTCGGGGCCTACTTCGCCATCGTCCTTGCGCTTTACCTGGTCCCGCTCACCATCTACTCGCCTTGCATAATGGAGAAGGAGGACCTGGGACCCAAACCGGCCATTATCGGTCACCGTGGCGCGCCCATGGTAGGTGTGCGTCTTCTCGCGCTCTCCGCCTCTTTCCCCGCCTCCTCCTCTCTTCGCTGTGAACTGGCTGGCCGCAGGGCAGCGCTGAACCATCCTGGAGCCAGGAAACTGGGGAGGTGGGAGAAAATGCCAGGCACTGCCCTGGTGTTCGTCTGCCCCAGAGGCTCAGCCGTCCTGGCAGAGATCCAGCAGCTCCCACAGACATTCGCTTTCTTAAGTCTCTGCCTCGTGGGTGGAAATGTGTCCCCCTGAAGGGAAGAAGAGGTCCTGTGGCCCCTGAATATTGTCTGAGGGGCCACCGGATATTTTGGATCGCCAGCCCTGTGCTCACCTTGGAACCGGGAATTCGTGCCCCGATGCCTAGGAAACCCAGCCGTTGCTTCTGAATGTGGGGGAAGTGACATCGGGGTGCAGGGGGCATTTGGGGGGGTGGAGGAGAGCAGAGCTGCGAGGACGCATAGGACCCAGCCGCCTCCTTCCTTCCTCTCCTGAACCGCCATTGCTGAAAAGAGCTCTCTGGGGGAGATGCTGGCCAAGCAGGACAAGCAGGGAGGAAATCCTGCAAGCCCCATTTCCGTAGGACTCTTGGTTCTGGTTTAATATTGGTCAAGATTTAGAGGGCCAGTGTGGTGTCGTGGTTAAGCGTGCGGGACTGGGACTCAGGCGATCCGGGTTCGAGTCCCCGCTCAGCCATGGAGCCCACTGGGTGACTTTGGGCCAGTCACAGGCTCTCGGCCCAACCTACCTCACAGGGTTGTTGTTGTGGGGATAAGATGGAGGAGGAGATGTAAGCTGCCTTGAGCCCTTTGTAGGGAAAAGGCAGGATATAAATGCAAAAATAAATAAATGAATAAAAATAAATTTAAGGCTCTGCACATTTTATTTATTTATTTATTTATTAAAACATTTCTATGCCGCCCCTTGCCGAAGCCTCGGGGCAGCTCACAGTACAAATAAAATACAATAAAATACAAAAATAACAATATAAAATTAACAATATAAAATAAATAACAATATAAAAGAAGTCGCCCTGGCCAGATCAATAAGCAAATATTGTTAACAATTAAAATGACGTTTAAATAAAAAGGTCTTCACCTGGTGCCGAAAAACAAATAACGACAGCACCAGGCGGGCCTCTCTGGGGAGCACATTCCATAGATTGGGCGCCACATGCAGACAGAAGAGAAGCCCACGGCTCCCAGCATGCCCTGCAACAACCATGGGGCATGCTGAGAGGTGCAGACCTTTTATCTGAACATGCACAAGACTGATTCGATTCGATTTATTTTAGTTATTCAACTTATATTCTGCTGTTACCTAGTCTGAGGACTCTCTAAGCAGATTACATGGATTGCAGCCTTAGTAGGTTGATCTAACCATTAAGCAGTTCTCTTTATGTCACTGGTGCCCCTCTGACTGGAAACACATTTGCCCCTGTGAGGACATGCAAATTCTAATCCGAACACCCGCTTTCTTTTCTCAGGTGTCAGGACATGTTTCTTCCTCAGGTTTTTTTTAGTTAACTTGCATCCCGTTCATGTCAGTGGGGCTGCTCTACGTGGGACCAAGTGCTGGAAACTGATCCATGATCTGAAATATGTATATGAAAATTACCATTATAATAGCAACCAGAAAATGATAGGGGCAGTGCGGTGTAGTGGTTAGAGTGTTGGACTGGAACTCAGGAAATCCGGCACTGGCACCCTCTCAGCATTGACGCTCACTGGTGACTTTCAGCCAGTCACAGACACTCAGCCTGACCTACCTCACAGGACTGTTGTTGCAGTGATAGAGTGGAGAGGAGAGCCTTGTAGGCTGCCTTCGCTTTCTTGCAAGAAGAAGAAGGTGGAGTAGAATCCCAGTATAATAATCATGATAGCATCATTAAAAATGACTCACGCAGCAAACAAACAGATCCATCAACTAAAAGGAAAAGGGTGCACATTTTAAATGCCTGTGGTGGATTTTATTTATTTTAATTATATTGTGATTTATATCCTGCCCTTTTCCTACAAAGGGCTCAAGGCAGCTTACATCATCTCTCCTCCTCCATTGTATCCCCACAACAACAACCCTGTGAGGTGGGTTGGGCTGAGAGTCCGTGACTGGCCCAGAGTCACCCAGCTGGCTCTGTGGCTGAGCGGGGACTCGAACCCGGATCGCCTGAGTCCGAGTCCCATGCGCTTCACCACTGCACCGCACCGGCTCTCCAGATGAACCAGTGCGGGCGGCAGCTCCTGCGGGACCCCTTCCTGCGCCCGGCCTCCTGTGAATGGCGTGCTTTTGGGACTTTCTTCTCGCCACCTCCTCCTGCCAGCCTCGCTCGGATGGCTCGGGACGGGAAGGCAGAGGCGGCCGTCCTCGGGATCAGCCGGAGCACGGAGAAGCCGCTTTCTCCGCCATCCGCTTGTCACCTTGGCTGGGTTGCCTTTTCTTTCTGACAAATTCATTCTGAGATGTTCGAGTCCCACGCGGACCTCTGTCACTCAGCCGCTAAGTGGGTTTACTTCCCACATCATTATCTCAGTGCTGTTTGCCAGAGGCGTCCTGCGGAAGCAGCTGATTCTAATCTTTGGCTAAAAGCAAGCATATGCGGTGTGGAAGGAATTCCTTCGGGCAGCTGTTGCGAAGACGAAGACGAGGAGGGAGTCCAGTGCCTAATTAAGAAATCTGAAGATATTTCACCCCGTGAAATAAGAGGGTGTGGGAGGCTTTTCAGGGGAGTAAACATGCAGGCACGAAGCGAGAGAGAGGAGTCAGCAACGCGATTCCAGGTGTCTTGAGAGAGGGTGGAATTACAAGGCCGTGTGGCTTTGGCAGACACCGAGGGCAGGATGCAGGATGGGTGGGAAGCGCAGCTGCACAGGTGGGTATGCACCATGCTTGCTCCACCTGTTGTGCAGCAGGCTGCCCTCAACCTGTTGCATAGCCGCCTGTCTGTGAACATAAGTGTTGTTGTTGTTAGTCGCAAAGTCGTGCCCGACCCATTGCGACCCCATGGACAACACTGTCCAGGCCTTCCTGTCCTCCACCGTCCCCGGAGTCCACTCAAGCTCACACCCACCACCCCAGTGACCCCATCCAGCCACCTCACCCTCTGCCGTCCCCTCCTTCTTTTGCCCTCAATCCTTCCCAGCATCAGGCTCTTCTCCAAGGAGTTCTTCCTTCTCATCAGGCGGCCAAAGTATTTGAGCTTCATCTTCAGGATCTGGCCTTCTAAAGAGCAGTCAGGGCTGATCTCCTCTAGGACTGACCGGTTTGATCGCCTTGCAGTCCAAGGGACTCGCAGGAGTCTCCTCCAGCACCACAATTCAAAGGCCTCGATCCTTCAGCGCTCGGCCTTCCTTATCGTCCAGCTTTCACAGCCATACATTGCAACTGGGAAAACCGTAGCCTTGACTATACGCACTTTTGTTGGCAGGGTGATGTCTCTGCTTTTTAGTATGCTGTCTAGATTTGCCATCGCTTTCCTCCGAAGGAGCAAGCGTCTTTTAATTTGTTGGCTGCAGTCCCCATCTGCGGTGATCTTGCAGCCCAGGAAAATAAAATCTGTCGCTACTTCTGTACAACATAAGTACAGACCCATTAAAAAGTTCTCCTCCGCCATGTTCAGTGGCTGGAAAACAATGGGCAGGGGAGAAATTGAGGGGGGAGGGTTGTGTGTAAAGCTTTCTAAGTTTCCTTCGGGGTCTGACTGTATATTTCTGGGTTCCATGTGTGCTCAGTGTGTTCCTGAATGCCCAGTATTCATCTAAGCCTGATCTGGGAATTGCACGTGGTCCGGGTCAGTGGAGCCAAGGACGCTCTGCAGAGGCAGCTGTCCCCCACCTCTGTGGCCCTGCAGTTTCTCTGCTCACGGCATGTATTCCGTGCTTGCAGTTCCTTGGACAGGCGACTTTGCAAGTCCCTGCAACTCCCTGGCTTCTTCCACCAGGGTCCCTCCCATCCTCCACAACCACGTCTCCTGATCTCCATTTTGGTTTGTAAGGCTTGCTTTGAATTCAGCAAGCAAGCCAAGAGGGAGGCTGAGATGCTCAAAGCGGAGCACTGCCTCTGGCACCGCCTTGGGGCCCCGAGCCACTGAGCCGAGCCGTCCCTGCAGGCGCTGGGTGCGCTCTGAAGGCCACCTCCTGGATGGTGGTTGGGAAACAGCGCTGGGCTAGGAGGAGGGCCGCTCTTCTCCAGCAGAGCCCTGGCTGACGTCCCCCCCTTTGGCCTGCCCGCTGCTCTTTCTTCCTGCAATGGCTCCTGGGTAGGTGGAAAGGAACTGGGCCCCCGGGATCCCCCGCTGAACCTGTCCGTCTCTGGCGCATCATCTCCCTGCAAGCGGTGCTCTCCGGAGCTGAAACCAGCAGGGCCGCGGAGGCCGCGATTGAGCACTGCTGCTTTGCCTGATGGCGGTGGGAGGGAAGGCTGGAAACCCCCCGCCGCCCCGTTAGCCCTCCAGCCTGTAATGTAATGCATTGTTTGGCCTCCCTTCCCAGCCCTGCGGGTCCCTCCCTTCCGGAGTCGGAGTCGTGGCTTTTAAGGGCGCTTCAAACCAGAAAAGCCCGCTCTCTCGCTCGCTCGCCCGCCAGGCTTCAAAGCCTCTCTCACCCTCCTCTCATTAGAAGGCTCTTCCTCCTCGCAGATCTTAAGCGTGTTCGCTGCGCTTCCATGTGAGCAGCACACGCTGTGTGTGTCAGTTGACACTTTTGGGTCGTTACCGTGCCCCTTTGAGACCTATGGGTGCCATTGCAAGTTTTTATTTTAAATGTCACTTTCGAAATTAATCTTGCAAAGAGACACTGGAAGAGACACTGCTGTAGCAAGGATGCAGGAGGACAGCTCCCTGTGGCCTGATCCAGCTGGGCCCTTTTTACACGCCTGTAAGCCTAAGCAGGGCCACTGGGACAGATGGCGGTGCTTAATTTGCAGATAGGATTGGGACCCCATAGTGTGATCCTGAGCAGGATCGGGTCTCTCTAAACCGGGTTGGGCAGCTTGTGGCCACCCAGACCTTTTGGCTGGCAGCTCCCATCACCTCCCGCACTGCTTCTGCCGGCTGGGGCTGATGGGACTTACAGGCCAAAGCATGGCTATCAGTGGCACTGGCCATTCGTTAGCCCGGCAGTGGAGGCGGCCCGCCTTTTCCACTCCCAAGGCCGCGCGTGCCTTGGGTCCCCAAGTGCCTGGCCACTGCCCTTTTGCTTTTGGGACGATGGCGCCCGCCAGGGGCGTTGTTCCACATGTCCTCTGGGGCAAGGCCTGGCAGCCCTCCCTTGCGGACCCCTGGAGGGTGGTGGAAGCGGAGAGACGGGCAGACAGTTTTGCCGCCTGGCACGCACCGAACGGCTCGCGTGCAGACTCCCAGCCCGGTCCTGCGGTGGCCGGCTTTCCAGGCTGTCCCTCCAGCCTGGGAGTGGTGGATTGCCCCGGCAGCGGCTGGAGGAGGAGCGGGCGCTTCATCCCAGCTGCGGCTGGAGCACCGCACGCTCCTCTGGTGCAGGCCAGGGGATCAGGAGCCCGGTGAGCTTCCAGGTGTCACTTCGTCTCACCTGTGGCAGCGGACGGCGGCAAACCGGGCGGTGGCGTCTCCAGCGATGGTCTTCGGCTAATGAGCGCCACTGCTTGTGCAGCCAGGCCGTGGCGCATTGGGTTTCCTTTCGTGCAGCCCCGGGGCCCCTCCCTCCGGGGTGTCCCGTTCGGAGGTGGGCAGGCCTCTTCTCTGCCTGCCACCCATCTAGCTGGCCAGCCTGTCTCTCCTTACGTGCATCTTGGGATCCGGAGTTGTGCCGGGCTTGGCTGGCGGCGGGAGCCCCCCTCCATGCCCCCTAAATCCTGACGATTCTCCCTGAACACCTGGGCAGGGTCCACGTGAGGCCTGCCCCTCCACCTCTTCCATTTCAACACCTGAGCATTCTGGTTCCCAGGACCCTCGTCACCAGACCTGTCCGTCCCTGCCTGACCTTGGAATGGGCACCGAGAGTAACGGCCCCTTCCGTTCCCAGCCTGAAACCGCACTGCAAAGACACGACCCACGTGGCGAGACAATACCGCTCTCCAGCCCCTGCACGGGCCGGATAATCCGGGGCTGTTGCTTCCGTGATCTGTCCTCTCTCAGCCGAGCCAGTCTGCATGTCTTCGATGCTGCTTTTAAATGCGGCTGGAGAGTAAATGCTGGCATTTTACCCAACTTGGGCTCTTCCTTGCAGGGCGCCCAGCTTGGCAGCGCGCTGCCGTGAATCAGTCATCCCGTTTCTTCATGTTTCTTCTGCAGATGGCACCTGAAAACACTCTTATGTCCTTCCAGAAGGCGGTGGAACAGAAGGTCTACGGCGTGCAGGCAGATGTGGTGATAAGGCGAGTCTTCGTCACCTTCCTTTTCTAATTAACTTTTTCAATTTTTATTTAAACTACTACAAAACAACTGCAATGCAAATATAAAAATACATCATTGGGAATTCAGAAGATTTAAGGAAGATGCAGGTAAATTAGAAAGGGCCCAGCGGAGGGCAACAAAATTTTTCCAGGGTTTGGAAACGCTGCCCTGTGAGGAGAGACTGGGGGAACTGGGCATGTTCAGCCTTGAGAAGAGAAGACTGAGGGGGACATGAGATACCTCCATAAGTACCTCAGAGGCTGTCACAGAGAGGAAGGTCAAGATCTCTTCCTGCTGATGCCAGAGTGTAGGACATGGGATAAGCAGTTCAAGTTGGGCAACCCAGATCCAGGCTGGGCATCAGGAAAAGCTTCCTCACTGTCAGAGCAAGACGGCAGTGGGACCAGCTGCCTGGAGAGGTGGGGGGCTCTCCCACACTGGGGGCATTCAGAAAGAAACCGGGCAGCCCTCTGAGTGGGGTGGTGTAACATGGTGTCCTGCAACAGCAGGGGGTGGGCCCGATGGCCTTCACGGCCCCTTCCAACTCTGCTTTTCTAGGATTCTAATTAAAAAAACACACAAAATACAACCCCTCCATAAATAAAAACAGCTAGTGCACTCCTCCACCATGGCTCCATAATATTTATTCCTTCATTTCTTTCTTCTTCCATACTTCATCTTCTAAATTTCTGCTTTTTCAGGAATAGCCCTTCCATCCAAAATTGCATTGAATGAACCAAAAGTCCAATACCCTTCCCTTTTATTAATAAGTGTTCAATACCCCATATATCATTAAAATCATTCTTATTGATCCACCCTTTTTTCTATCCCACACGTGAACTTATAATTTACTGCTATGTTCCAAATTTCTTCATACCATTCAGTTAACTGGAGATCCTGTTTCACTTCCCAGTTCTTTGCTATTATCAGTTTTGCTGCTGTGACCAAATTCGTTATTAATTCTTTAAAGTTCCATTTCTTTTCATAAAATATCAACAGCAATGCTATTTCAGACTGTACCTCAAATTTTAGGTTCAATATCTTACTAATTTCCTTAAAAACCAATATCCAGAATGTCTTAATATTTGCACAATCCTACCACATATGGAATAGGTCCCCATTTTTTGCCCACATCCCCAAATGAATTAGAATATTTACTGTCCTTACAGAATAATTTTTCTGGCATCGGGTACCTTTTCCGCAAGGCAAGTCTTCTAGGGGGCAGATGTTGTCTTGCCAGCTTGAGTTCAGCTTGGAAGGCTGGTGGCGCTACAGGGAGTTGGTCAGTGGCTGTGTGAGCAGAAGGCGGGACTGGGTGGACCTGGGCCTGATCCAGCCCCAGGGCACTTTTCACTGGTACACGAGGAGCACAGGAGCATTTTACTTCTTCTTCAGGCTGTTAACCGGCATGCAGAGCCCTGGAAGGCTTCGTCTCTTTCATGGGGACTTTAGCCCTGGGGTCAGAGGTGGTCCAGGTAAAGGGGCAGGTGCTCAAGCAAGTTGCCCTAGTGAAGGTGGTGGGGGGGGGCTTTTTCAGAATCCGCCCCTCCAGGATCCCTCTCGTGCAAGGTCTGGTCCTGCCCTGCCAAGCGAGTGGAGCCGAGAGGAAGTCTGCAAACCCTCACGGGCCACCTGGCTGCCCGGCCAGCTGCCATTCTGAGCAGCCCACCCGCTGCGGCTGCCAGAGGTGGTGGCACATGGGAGGAAGGAGCGTCTGGGGCCCGATCCCTGGTGAGCACCCCGGGAGGGCTGGACACACTGGCCAGGAGCTCAGGCTTGGGGCTGCTGAGGCCAGGGAAGCCCCCCCCCCCCGCAAGGTTTCCTTGCGCACCCTGGGAGAGGGGGAGCCAGTCCAAGAGGCCCGTGTCAGTGCACCCCTTGCAGGGGGGCGGCTGCAGCAGGTGCCTGGCCCTGACGCCGTCCCCGATCCTGGGAGCCGCCACCGGTGCTGCACACCATGGCAAAGCTCCCTACCTCAGAAGAGTGAAGAGGTCCCCTCTCTGCTCTGCAGTTACGACGGGGTGCCTTTCCTCATGCATGACAAGACACTGAGGAGGACCACCAACGTGGAGGACGTGTTTCCGGAGCTGGCCTACGAGCATCCCTCCAGGTTCAACTGGTCCGAACTGGAGAGCCTCAATGCCGGCGAGTGGTTCTTGAAGGTACGTGCGGCATCCCGGGGCTCCAGCCAGCTCCCCACCAGCACCAGGCCGAGTATCCGCATTTCGTCTCTTGTCAGCGCCCCTTAGATCCAGAAGAAGGGAAAAATGGATGGGCACCCATTCTCCAAAATGCAAGTGCATTTTCAATATTGCTTTCCATTTGGCATGGATTCACCCCATGTTAGAAACATAGAAACAGAGCGAGTCAGAAGGGGTCTCCCGGACCATCTAGTCTGACCTCCAGCACCAGCCGGCTCTGCTCACGACATGCCCACCATGTGGACGTCCAGCCTATCCTTGAACACCCGCACCGATGGGGCCTCAACCACCTCCCGTGGAAGCCCATTCCACACCCTCAGGGTCCTGACTGTCAGAAGTGCTTCCTGGCATCCAAACTGAACCTGGGTTCCCTGAGCTTGGAGTGCATCCTGCCTTCCTCTGCAGGGGAGAACAGGTCTCTGCCCACCTCCGTGTGACACCCCCTCACATACCTGTATGTCGCCAACAGGTCCCCTTGGACTCTCCAGGCTGAAGAGACCCAGTTCCCTCAGTCTCACCTCATACGGCATCCCCTGCAAACTGGCCACCAACCTTGTGGCACTACGCTGCACTGGCTCCAACCTGGCTATATCCTTCCTGTAATAAGGGGCCCAAAACTGAGCACAACACTCCAGTTGCAGGTGCACCAGAGTCGTGTAGAAGGGTAGTAATCCCTCTCTCGATCGAGAAGCCACACTTCTGGCTATGCAACCAAGGGTGGTGTTTGCCCTCTTGGCCACCGCATCACACGGCTGGCTCATGTTTAGCCTGCCGTTGACCAGCACCCCGAGGTCCCTTTCATGAATGCTGCTCTCCAGCCACTTGTCCCTAACCATGGGTTCGGGTCCGGGTCCAGGTTCGTAATGCGCACAGGCGATGCAGGGGCCTGCCGAAGGCCTTTGGACAAGGATCTGGAGGCTGGGCTGGTGCGTGAGGCCGTGGCCAGGCCTTGGGACGCTCCCTGGCATCTCACCCACTGATTCTTGCAGTGCCACTTACCTGCTGGCAGGAGACCTCCAGCGGGCACCGGTTGGGGATGGTGGGCCAGTACATCAGCTGTGATCACCAGGTGGTATCCCGGAGGCCATTGGATAGCGGAGATTTGCATCTCCAGGGTAAGGAAGGCACCCTGCCTTGCCTGGCGCTGGGGATCCGGTCTTGGGCCGCCCTCCCACACCGGAAGCCAGCCTGGGAAGAGGCTCGCCAGCCGCTTTGCTGAGGCTGTGGAAGACTCCCGGGGATGGGGTTCTGGCCGCTCGGAGCGAGGACTGCAGGGTTACTCCGTGTGAAAGGGCACCTTCCGTGCCGCTGCAGGAAACAGCACCGTGCAGCGGACACTGGGCGTTCTCCACCCTTGCTGGAGAACCCTCTCTTCCCATCCTCCCCGTTAGCTGGTGGAAAGGCTGCCCGACGGGACAACCGCGAGCCGTACTGCAACGGGGCTTACGGAGTGAGGGCCGTCTGGGATCAGTGAATCCCTCCGGTCAGGCAGGACGGCTTGGCCCTCCTGCTCCACGGAGCTCAGGCTGAGGGTGGGAGTGACATGCAGGCGGTGACCCAGATCCCAGCCACGACCCTGACCCTGTAAAAATCCGTGCGCCTCAGGAAACAGGTGGTGCTGTCGGCTCGGCGATTGTCTCCCCCGGACAGCCGCCTCGTAAATGCGGCGCATCCGCTTGGATTCCCTGCTTCTGGAAGTGTCTTGAGGACACGCATGCAAATCGGCAGTTGCCACTCGCTTGAGCAGACCGAGATTGTCTTGTTTTCAGTTTATAATCAAGTTTCTAGTTCTCAAGGCTATGAAGAGCGGTTTGAAAGTGTGTTGGCAATGTTTAGTGAAATGTCAGAATTAGGTGGAGGGTCCATCACTTTTGCAAGGGGGCTTCCGTGTTGCCGAAGTCCTTTCTGCTTAGCTTTGTGTTGTGTGAATACATGAGGAATAATGTAAATGTTCATACTTTGCCCAATCTGAGTCCTAAAACTTTGGCTTTTCCTTGGGGCAGAATCTTGACCCCCTTGCGTTTTTTTAGCATTGAAGCATGTGGGCAAACCTACGTTGACAGAGAGGCGCAGCCGACCTTACAGGATTGTTGTGTAGATCTGAGGGGGATGGGGAGAATCTCGAATCCTGAGCTCCCTGGAAGAAGGGCAGAATAAAAATATGCAATGCCAGAGGGAGTTCCTGTGATAAATTTTTGCCCGCACCATGGTCCTGGCCGGTGCTTTTTTCCCTGCGGGAAAAGTCAAGCTGCATTAGCCACGGGGCCAAATCTAGCTGGGGTCCCAGGAGCCAAGCCCAGTGCTTGTCTTGGTTGCATCCCGCTTGGGCTACTGCAACACCCTCTCCGTGGGGCTGCCCTTGAAGACTGTTTGGCAACTTCAGCAGCTCGGCAACCCTGCGGCCAGAGAGTTGACTGGGCAGACAACAGGGAGTCTGTTGATTGCAATGGCATCACTGCCCACTGGTCTGAATTCAGGGGCAGAATTCAGACTACCGGTTCTGATCTAGGGAGCCCCACGTGGCTTGGGACCGGGCTACCTGAAAGATCTCCCATCTCAGCCTCCCAGGGTCCTAATATCTCCTAGGCAGGTCCCTCTTTGGAGACTGCCACCCTCGGAGGTCCTTGTGGTGGCAATGCAGGACAGGAGGGCCTTTTCGGTGGCTGCCCCCTGACTCCCCAGCTCTGGAACTCGCTCCCAAAGGAGCCTTTCCACCAGAAGACAAGACCTTATTCAAGGAGGTCTTGTCCTGTACGTGGGGCTGTGCTTTTTCTTCCGCAGTTGCCTTGTCTTTATGGCTTTTAATGCGATCGATTGTTTTAATCTATTTTAAATGGCACGGGCCTGCACCTGCTAAAGGAGGAAACAGCACGTGGATGGTTTGACTTGACCGTGATTCCTTGTGCATATTTGCTGTGCCTCGAATAACAACAACGCATAAATAAAAGCGAGGGAAGGCCTGCGCTTCTGGCGATGAAGCAAGCAGAAAGCAGCTTGCTTCTGCCCAGCGTCGGCTTCCCTGTGTCCCAGGCGGGGAGCTGGCTTAGGGGGGCTGGCTTAGGGGGGCTGAGTGACGCCCTGGCGGGGCGTTCCCTTCGTAGCAGATCACGGGCTGCCTCCTGGGGAGGCCTCCTCCGGTGCTGACGATGGCGTCTTCCGCTCCCCTTCCTCCTGCTTTCCGCAGTACGATCCCTTCTGGACGGCCGATTCCCTCTCCAAGCCGGACTTCGTAAAAGCGGCGAACCAGTCGGTGTGCAAGCTGGCCGACATGCTGGAGGTGGTGCGGGGCAACGCCACCGTCCTCCTGAACCTCCAGGACTTGCCCCCGGATCATCCGTACCACGGCGCTTCCGTCAACGTCACCCTGGAAACACTCCTCACGTCGGGCATCCCTCAGCAGGCTGTGAGTCCCACGTCGCTTGGGTGGGTGGATGTGGGGCCGTGCCGTGGGCACCCTGCACCAATTCACGCAAGAGGCAGTTAGCAGGCTGAAGCCTCCTGCTGAAAATGGCAGCTCCTGGGTTGCAGATGTCTGTTCTTCCAAGCCCCGTGAGGGAAGCGGGGGAACGCATGGCTTGGGACCTCCCAAAGGCTTGCTTTGTTCATTGCCGCTCTTGCTCCTCCTCCTCTTCCTCGCCGGCCCTGATCACGATCCCAGCCAGTCAGTGAGCACAGAAGCCATGCAGTCCCTATACAACCCATCAGGGTTGGTGTCTGGCGGCATCACGGAGGGTAGATGAAGCGTTCATGGTGCAAGTTGTGCAATAAGGACAGAGGAGGAGCCGGGCCAGAACTCCCCCAGGAGGCCATCTAGCCCAGCGTTCTGCTTTCAGGGTGGCCGGCCAGCTATCCACGGGGGACCCACAGTGACGATGTGGGGCACCAGCACCTTCTCACTTCTGTTCCCCAGCGACTGGGGCACTCACTGCCTTGGATACTGGAGCTCTTGGGGGATTACCGAGTTATGTGAACTCAGCTAAGCTAGCAAGCCCTGGTTGCTTAACCACAAACCTTCGTTCCCAACTAGGGTTGGGATGAATCTGTCCCCGCAGAATCTGTGTACGTGCTCTCATGGCCGGCCTGCTTCCACACCGTCAGCCAAGCCAAGAGGAAATTCAAAGATCCATGTGCCACAGGCTTGCTGAGGCACCATTCCTGGTGGCCAGCCTTCCTCCTCGCTCGCCGCCCTCATCTTCTCCCTTGCAAACCCTGGACATGATCACCAAGAACGCAAACTCGGGCTGCTGGAAAGGGGTCCAGAGCCCAGGCAGCCGAATCCAGTGGATTTTCTGCCCCGGACGGCTTCCTGGCACATCCCTGTTCACAACCCAACAGCAAGCCATGAGTTCTCTCTGTGGGTTGTTTGTGGTTTACCAACCACGGTTTGTTAGTATGGCTTGGCTCGTGCGACGCAACAACCCGGGTTTTCAACCCATACTCTGGCTTGTGTTGAGCGAACCCCGTCTAGGAGGAGGGTCCGACTCCTGAGCTTTGCAGTCTCGGGGCAGGGAGAGGGGAGGCGTCCTCGGGGGCCGAGGCAGCAGGTGGGCTGCTGTCCTCTCATTCCCGCGTGAGATTCTGCTGTACGGCTGGCGGAGTTTTGAGCTTTTCCAATTTAGGGAGCCGGTTTTTGCAGTTCTGTTGAACCCGAAGCATCTCATCACCCCCAGTGTGGAACCATGAAGGCTCCGTCTGCGTTGTTAACGGCTGAGGCTGGTCCCTGAGTTTCAGTTGGCAAGTGGTGCCCCCACAAATACGCATTTCGGGAGGCTGCATCAATCTGCCAGTGTTTCTCTCCCGCCCTCGCCCACTCTTTTTAAGCTTCGTGTGTGCTTTAATTTATAACAGGGAAAACAGAACTGCGATTTTCTACTCTTCCCAAATACTGTCCTTCCCCTCCTATCAGCCGTTATTTCGTTTTGTAACATTTTGTTTTGTTCGTTTCATTAGTTACATTTTTATGCCACCTAATGAAGTGCTCTGGGCCGCCTTCAAAGATTAAAAACCGTTAAACTACCCTATAAATTTACATACGTGCATATAGACAGACCGGATCAACACACACACACAGATACCTAAATAATTTTAAATAATCTGCGAGAAGAAATATCTGTGGCTTGAGTAAAACCCATTATACATGGCCAAATACCGGAGAGAAGAAGGTCTTGACCTGGCATTGGAAAGATAACAGTGTTGGTGCCAGGCAGGCCTTGTTGGGGAGGTAGTTCTAGAATTGGAGGGGCTACCACCGAGAAGGCCCCGCTCTTCCATTGCAGCCTTCTGAGACGCTTGGGGAAGGCTCCTGGAGGAGGGCCTCAGGTGTGGATGCTGGGTGTGGGGGTGCTCATGCCAATACGGCTCTTCGTGCACCTTTGGCATCAGAAACCCACGTGAAGAATCCAGTCTCAGCATTCACTCTGAATGCCGCTTTTGCTTTCCTGTCACAGCAGAGGTGACTGCTCTACACAGAAAACTTTGGAGAAACCCAGAACTTGGTGTAGCTGTGACTGCACATTCACAGTCCTCTCAGAAACAAAAAGTAGCGTGCTGCAAAGAAAGCCGTTCAAGCTTTTTCTGACTCAGAAAAATGGAAAGGCATAAAAGCGCAATGCCTTGCGTGCAAGCCCCTGAACTACAGGATCTCCACCTGAAACAGGTTCATAGAGGAGCAGGAACTCCGGAAGGAGCAGCAAGCAGTTAAATCTGGCGTCCCTTCCATTTCAGCATGTGAAATTCCATAGAATCCTAGGAGAGCAGAGTTGGAAAGGGCCATGAAGGCCACTGAGTCCAACCCCCTGCGGTGGCAGGACCCCACATTACACCATCCCACTCAGGTGGCTGTCCAGTTTTGCCTTGAATGCCCCCGGTATGGGAGAGCCCCCCACCTCTCCAGGCAGCTGGTCCCACTTCCCCATTGCTCTGACTGTGAGGAAGCTCTTCCTGATGCCCAGCCTGAATCTGGGTTGCCCAACTTGAACTGCTTATTCCGTGTCCTGCACTCTGGCATCAGCAGGAAGAGATCTTGACCTCCCTCTCTGTGGCAGCCTCTGAGGTCCTTATGGAGGGATCTCATGTCCCCCTCAGTCCTCTCTTCTCAAGGCTGGACATGCCCAGTTCTCCCAGTCTCCCCTCACAGGGCAGTGTTTCCAAACCCTGGATCATTTTTGTTGCCCTCCTCTGGACCCTTTCTCGTTTACCTGCATCTTCCTTAAATCTTGGTGCCCAGAACTGGACACAGTATTCCAGGTGAGGTCTGACTAGTGAGAACTATATAGAGAAACTGCTACTTCGCATAATTTGGGAGTAATACTTCTATTAATGCACCCCAAAATAGCATTTGCCCTTTTGGTAGCTGCATCGCATTGTTGGCTCATGCTTAGCCTATTATCCACAATTATTCTGAGATCTTTTTCTTTTTCAGTTCATTTGAGGCAAGGTTCTTTGTTTACGCTTTGGCGTCATGCTCTAAATACGGCGGTTGTGCTGTTTTAAATCTTGTGCAGGCATTTGTCTGAATGCGGGAGAGCTCAATGGGGACCAGGCAGTGGGGCTGGGCCCCCTGCCCCTCTTCCTCGCATCTCCTGCATCACCATCTGGGTTCCCAGCGGGGCAGGCACCGTGAGAGCTCCCTCCAGGCCTTGCCCATTGAATGCAGCAGGGGCTGAACTGGGCGGGGGCAGCGTGCAATTGCCATGCAGTGTAACTGGTGGAATAATATATACGGGATGCTAGAAATCCCCCAAAAATGTCATCCACGGAATTGCTAAAATTAGGACACTGCGGTCCATCAGAAACTTGGCTCTGTCTGGCGGTAGTAATTAACAGTGCCAGTTGTTCCCGTTTGCATGGCACCAATGACTTGACATATGTAATGTCATTTTTCCATTGGGTACATTTTTTCAGAGTATTTTAATGTTAAAGCATAATAAATTTGCAAGCACCCGAGCACTGATTTTGAGACCAGCTCAATTTTTTGTGGCCGTTCGTTGAATAATAATAATAATAATAATAATAATAATAATTATTATTATTATTATTATTATTATTATAACATTTCTATGCCGCCCCTTGCCGAAGCCTCGGGGCGGCTTACAATACAATAAAATACATTGAAATACAATAGAACATAATAAATTACCATTAAATACAAAAATACAAAAAATACACTGAAGAACACAACCATAGTACTGTTTAAACCATCAGTGGCCCATCTGATGCTGTGGCCTACAACGCCCACCAGTCATAGCCAGGGGTGGGGGACAATGGACATTGTAGGCCAGAACGTCTGGAGTGGCCGTGAATGGCTCACCTCTGGCTTTGAGGTTTCTCGTCCCGGCGACCCCAGAGGTGCCGCTCTTTCCTAACAGCAGTCGCACCTGCTTGTTGGCTGTCCTTCCAGGTGATGTGGCTGCCCAGCGCGGAGCGGAGGCTGGTTCAGGAGGTGGCCCCGGGCTTCCAGCAGACCTCCAGCATCAAGGGGGATGCCCAGCAGCTGCGGGACGGAGGCTTCCGGAAGCTCAACCTGCGCTACACCAAGGTCTCCAGCGATGAAATCAGGTTCTGTCCTTCCCTTTGGCTGCTGCTGACTTTAGCCTCGTTCCCCTGAACCGCGTGTGGCAGAGCGGGCCGATTTCTGGGCCCCGCGGGCGGCACAGGCTGGACCTTGGCTGGTGGAAGTGCTCCTTCTTGGCGTCATTTCCCGCTCGGGAGCGTGGGGCCTGCCGTTTCCCTGTCTCCCCACTCCCCCAGAGGTTCCAGGAAGGGGCTGTCCCCGTGGGGATCCTCCTGGATCTAGTGAGCCTCCCGCTGCCAGCTCTTCGCAGCCCCAAAGGGTAAAGCGCGAGCCCCCCAAAAAGCCCTGCCGGCCACAGCCCCGCCCCGGGCTTGTGAATTCCAGGCAGGGGCGTTCTGTGAGGACTGGGCCCCAGGGATGGCCTTCCCCTCCGTGAGTTTGCCCAGGCCCCTTTCAGAGCCCTGGATCGCCACGTCTCGGGCAGCGGATCCCGTCGCTCGGCTCTGCGTGGCGGAAAGAAGGCCCTCCTTTTAGCGGGCTTGGATCCCAGCTGTCAGCTTCATGGCTTCCGGGTTCCAGTCAGCCACCTCCCGGCAGCAAAACCCCACCTGGACAGCTCATCGCTTTTCACGCTGGGGAGAACCGAGACGGTGGCCTTTGTCAGACGCCCCTCACAGGGGCGAGCGCCTGCAGTGGGGAAAGCCGCCGCCTCCCTCCCCTTCCCAGGCCCCCCCGCCGTCTGGCCGCTGCTGACATGGAGGACGGGCCTGCAAAGCGGCAGCTCGGCCCGACCCTGCAGGACGGATGGTCGCTCTTCCGGCCGTCTGCAGGCGGCCTCTTCTGACGCCCCCCCCACTCTCCCCCCGCAGGGCGTACGCAGCGGCCAACCTGAGCGTCAACCTGTACGTGGTGAACGAGCCCTGGCTGTACTCGGTCCTGTGGTGCAGCGGCGTCCAGTCCGTCACCTCCGACAGCGCCCACCTGCTGCGCGCGCTGTCCTCCCCGCTCTGGCTGATGGTGAGCGAGTCCCGGCCCCGTCCGGGCCTCTTGGCTTATTTAGATCTTTTACGGACCGTCCCTCTGCTGGCCTCTCGGGATGGTTTACAGCGAATAGTAAACGAGGAATTAAACTGGCACAGCATGCAGTGATACAATAATGCAGAACACATTAACAACAGTTAAATGTTAAAAGAACGGGAAAATGAAAAGATTTTTGCCTGGTGCCGAAAAGCAAAGAGCGTTGGCGCCAGGCGGACCTCTCTGGGGAGCGTATTCCAGAATCGGGGTGCCACTGCAGAGAAGGCCCTGCTCTGGGTAACCCCCGCCTAATCTCTCTCGGGGTGGGCTCCCGACAAAGGAACTCTGACCCAGACCTCAAGGGGCGGGGGGCACCTAGGGAAGGAGGTGCTCCCTCAGGTACCCTGGACCCAAGCCACTTAGGGCCTTATAGGTCATCACTAGTACCTTAAATTGGGCCCAGACTTCAGTTGGTAGCCAGCGTAACTGGTAGTGGTCTGGCGTAATATGTGAAAACCAGCCAGTCCCCGTCAGCAGCCTGACAGCTCTGTTCTGGAGCAACGGAAATATCCAGACCGTCTTCAAGGGCAGCCCCACGTAGAGCGCGTTGCGGTAGTCCAGTTGGGAAGTTACCAGGGCGTTTCAGAGGGGCATGGTGGGGCTCTAAGGGAGAGGGGTGCAGTGGGCAGAACCCCGAGGAACTGGTGGGGATCCTTGCCCCCACACTGCGCGGTTGCCCCCCACCTGCCCTGGGCTGATCCTCCCATGCCGGTGCATTTCCTCTCCTCTGGAAATCTGCATCCAAATGGGAAGGGAGGGCGTGTAGCAGGATTGCCGGGCGTGTCCTGACCTGCTCCAGATGTCGCCTGCCTGTCTGGCCTGTGCCACAGCTGAGCCCATCGGAAGGGCACCAGGTTGGGGAAGGCCACTCTGGCTCTCACGGCAGTTCAGTGGTGTGGAGCGCCACCTTGTGGTCACTGGTGCATTTGCCGCTGTGTCAGTTTGCTGCCTGGAGTGGTGAACAAAAGCCTTCCACAGCGGGTGGTGTTGGACTGCGACTCCCAGCATTCCTGACCATTGGCCAGGCTGGCCAGGGATGATGGGGGGTGAAGTCCAAGACATTGGCAGGCATTTAGACAGCAAAATGTTGCCGGAGGTTGAGACATGAGAAAGACGTCGTCGCTCTTCCTGCAGGCAGGTCGTGCGGCTCAGCCTTGCTCCCTTCCTGGAGGATTCCAGAAGAATTGCCTTTTCCATTCCAGCTCTGGGCCACATTTCCTGCGAGCCCCTGAGATTCTCCTGAAATCCACAGCCCCTCACCATTTCAGGAGTTGAATACATGCAACCTGGTGATCACGGACTTCGGTCTGCCATCCACCATCTTGCTCCCTCGACTCTGGGAAAAGGCGTGTGGGTTTTTCACACAACGCTCCGGTGTCATGTGCTGCTATGCACACACAGACCTCTCTGCGAAAAGCCGTGCCCTGGACACCAGGGAGCCCCTGTGCCCTAGTCAAAGCATGGCTGTGCTGCTCCCCCCGGGAACAGGTGTCCGAGAGAATGGCTTCTCCAAAGAGGCCGCCTCGGCCTCCGCGTTGCTCGCAGCATCACAGCCTGCTGGCGTTCGTTGAGCTGCGGCGTGGCAAAGAGCCTTCTCCGTGGTGGCCCCGCCATGCGGAATGCTTGCGATCAGGACACATTTCTTTCTTTGGGGATTCGTCTGATGGCTGGGATCGGCAGCTTCCGCTGGTTATTTAAATCGTCTTGTTTTATTACTGTTTGCTTGTGTTGCTGTTCATGGTATTTTACCACTGTTTTATCTAGTGAACCATTTTAGATTGGGTGATACTGTTGTTGGGTGTGTGTTTTTTTTTAATGAAAATAGGTTAGACACTTCCTTAAACAAATTCTGTAATTAGTACAGATCAGTGGATTTTGTAATGCGCTCTCCTATTTTTGGGCTGGCTTCCTAGAGGCTGTCTGCTCCATTTAGAGAGCCAGAGAAAGCGCTGCTAATGTGTATGTGAATCCAACAGTAAGCAGACGCTCTTTTTCTCTTGCAGCCTCCGGATGAGTACTATCTGATCTGGATTATAGCTGATATAATCTCGTTCATCGTCATCACAGGCGTGTTTATATTCCAGAAGTAAGTTGCTTCCATTCTCAGTTTTGCACAGCGACATCCAGTTCCGGAGCTGCTATTAAGGCTTGCGGGATCTCAACCCTCAGTCACCTAACTGGGCTGCTTTTCTGCACTGGCTACAACTCCCATCATCCCCTAACCAGCATAGGCTGCTTTAAAATAAGGGCTGGAAGAAGTTTTACAAGAGCGAGTTTGTAGCTGTACAGGTGTTTGGGGGTGGCAGCCGATAAGATACCTGGGAAAATTACCTGTCCTGGGTGGTCTACCAAAGAGGACAAGCTGAACCCTAAGGGAGGAGTCAGTATAGATGCTGTCTTATCTCGAACTCTTGTCCATCCCTGGTTGATCGGAAAGGCCACTTTGAAAGGGCTAGAAAGGGCCAGTTCTCAACTTCAGGGCCTTCAGACAACCTGTTGCCACACGTGGCATTCGCCACAGCAGTGGGACTGGCACAGGGGGACTGAGTGGGCTGGTCACGGCCAGGGAAGGATATCTGTGGGCGCCCATCTCTAGCCTGCTGCTACAGCTTGGAGGGGCCAGGATTATCACTTGGCCTAGGGAAAACCAGATCTAAGCTGGGGCCAGGAATGGGTACAGGACTCTGCGATGCCGAAAAAGGATGGTTGGAAGAAGAGGGGGTGATGAGAAGGTGCAGGAGAGGACAAACCAGCAAGCCAGTTGGTGAAGGTCGGGGACTCTCTTCCACGCCCCCTTTACGGCCTTGCTTGGACAGGTCCTGCCAGCACGGGGTGGCCTAGGTGGTGCAGGGTGTCCTCTCCCAAAGTGGAGGGTTGAGTCGGAAGGCAGAGCGGCCAAGAAGGGGGGAGTGCTTGGCCTGCAGGCCACCCTCCCAGTTCCACATCAGGAGTAATGAACCGCCATGACTTCGAAAGAGGCGGCTCTTTCTGCCTCCTGCCCGTGATGATTTCTTTACTGCTCTGACGGTTGCATGTCCCTCTTCTCTCTCTCTCTCTCTCTCTCTCTCTCTCTCTCTCTCTCTCTCTCTCTCTCTCTCTCTCTCTTTCTCTCTCTCTCTTTCTCTCTGCTGCTGCATCTTGGCATCTTTACAGCTATCACATAATCAGGTAATTTCTGGTGCCCAGCTGTTCCACCCCACCTTCTGTCGTCCTGCCTGTTTGTTTACTTTTGTTCTCCTTTCAAGCACTGCTGCAAATTTGGGTTCAAGCAAAACAGGTGCCTAGAGATGGACCTTGTTCCAAAATAAAGGTTGAGGTGTATGGAAACAGAGCTGCAGAGCTCACCTGCATGGGGAGATGGGAGTTCAGCCGGAATTCACGTGGCCAGCAACTGCCCCATTCCAAACACCCCACAGGACAACTTTCTCCACCCTAGCACCTTCTGGAAGTGCTGGACTGCAACTCTGGGCATTTCCCAGCTGGGGAAATGATGGGAGTTGTAGTCCAACACAGGTAGTTCAATTGCTGCCCTCTGACATGAATTGCTAAACTACCCCAGGGCCAAATGACAGGTGGAAAAAATCAGGGTTTTCAAATTCTAATTACATGAACTGGGGTGGGGGGTTGATAATTGACAGGATCCGAGCTGTACGAGAGGGGCTTGAAGCCTTTCCTCCCTTGTTTGGATCCCAGGCGAATTCCCTCTTCTCAGGTGCTTATATGCATTGGGAGGGAAACCCCAGCTGGTGCTGAATTACTCCCCAACCCAAATACCCAGAGCTTTAGAAAGCCAGATTTTCCTCTGGACCAAATCAGATCTGGAGAACAGGTTAATTCCCTCTGTTCTTGCCATGATCGCATTTACCCCTTGGGCTGATGCAATTTGCTTAAAAAAAAAAAAAAGAAAGGAAAAGAAAAGAAAAGATCTTTACTATAAATGCAAAAGCTCCCGGAATCCTCCCTCTCTTACCTTTGGCCTGATGCCGTGGGACTTCGTGGTCCGTGGGCATTTCTTGGGCGCCCCCCCATGCCGGTTGGCGGTGCTTCCCGGATTGGCAGCATCCTCCTGGCCTCCCTGTGCTTTGCCCTCCTTCCCACGCTTGTTTAGATCTGGGAACGCACACCCGTCTTTGATGACAGTGGGCCAAAGTGGAACCCGATCGCCCTGTAGTTCACCGTCCTGCTCTCCTCCAGTGCCACTTTGTGGTTTTGGAAAGAGGGGTGGGAAGGGGTCCGTGAGGCCATCCATTCGGACCCCTGCTCTGCTCCCCGCTGTGGTCTCCCATCCAGCTGCAGACCCGCACCCTCCCAGCTTAGCAAGATGACTCGATACGCTGAATGGATGGCGACTGGAACAGTCAGAAAGGCAGAGGAAGAGCACCCAGAAGAGGAAGGTGTGCGTGGGGCCAGGGTGAATCCTGCGAAGGATCCGGAATCGGAAGCCTTGGCACGTTGGCCGGTTAAACGCGGCGTGTGGCCCGAGTCTCATCCCACTCCAGCCCCCAGGTGGCAAGTTCTGCCCCCCCCCCAACTTTCCCTCGATGGCAGGCAGCAAGGATACCCTGATCCGAGTTGGAGGGGAAACATGTTGGGGGACCTTGGAAGCTGACTCAGACCTGGCCCAAGGTCTCCGTCTGCCCCTGAAGCACTTCCCAGGAGCCCCCTCCACCCCGCAACCCCAAGACTTGCCGGTTTCCCTCCTGCTGCATGTTCCAGCCCTCATGCCCCCTCCCCATTCTAAGGGGCCAAATATCTTCCATATCACTGAGCAAAATCAAGCTGGTCATCTTGGCCTCCCTTCCACCCCCCCCCCATTTTCCTTCATTCCTGCCCACCATTGGAATATCCCCCACCCCCCAGGTTCTTCACCTTTGAGCCAGTCCTTCATTTTCCGCTTTGCCTGGCAGCATTTTTCTGGGTGGCAGGTAAAAGGTTTTCCCCACCGCGATGTTGTGGAGTCGGACGTCACAAGGATGCCATGCTCCTTTCTGTCTGCAGGGATCCTGACAAAAACCCACAATTCCCCCCATCACCCTGGCTCCTCTGGGTTTCTCCCGTGTCTTCCTGGCTTGGCTGCACTTAATTCAGTACTTGGGGCTGGGTGCATTTCCAGGAACAACTTAACCGCTTTTGTGCTGTTGTTTGGGGGTGGCAACTTGGGCTCCTTTGCTTGGCCAAAGAACTGCACTGGGTAGACGTGAAATGCCCAGAAGTGGAGCTTGGATCGGGCCCCACCGAGTTCCCACCACCTCGCAGCTCCTTCCTCCGCAGGATAGAGGTCCTTGTGCACAGCGGCCGGCCTAAGCTTTCTACAACTGAATTTCTTGCTTTCGTTGGCTGCTAAGTTGCTCTCTATTTGAGAGAATGCTTGACCTAGAGACCGCCCCCCCCACCCCATTTTTGCAGTCAGGTCTTGATGTGTGTTTTCCTTTTTTAAAAAGCAAATGTTCCACGTGTAACATTCTTCATACATTTTCTTTCAGCTCTGTTTGGCTGCACTGCTGATCCAAACTCATGGGTTCCCGTTTTTGTCAGTTTCCGTCACATAGCTATTTAGAAAAACGCCCCACTGACTTGCATAGAGAGTGTTTTTGTGTGCTCAGGGTCACAACTCTTTATCGAAGCCAAAATAGTGGTTTCTGTCCTTAAAACTCACCAAATGAGAGCCAACGTGGTGTGGGGGTTAAGTGCTTGGGACTGGGATTCAGGCGATCCGGGTTCAAGTCCCTGCTCGGCCATGGAGCCAACTGGGTGACTTTGGGCCAGTCACTGACCCCACCTCACAGGGTTGTTGTTATGGGGATAAGACTGAATGCAGCAGGAGGAGAACGGTGCAAACTGCTTGGAGTTCTTTAGAAAAAGAAAAAAAGGTGAATGCTAAATCTAATAAATACACCTCATTTGCCTTGTGAGACGAAGCACAAATTTAGCTGTCCCTTTTGCTGCTCATGTAAAATCCCCCCACCCACGTTAAAAGTGTATTTTGGGGGTAGAGCTTGGTGCTGCTTATGCCTGCCATGGCAGCTTGCATCCCCTGTTGCTCCGGAGGGCAGGTCAGGGGCCGGTGGGTCGACGTTCCAGGCCACCAGATCTGGAGTCAACATTAGGAAAACTTGCTTACAGTGAGAATGGTTCAGCAGTGAAACGGGGAGACCCCCGGAGGCAGGTGGCCCTCTTTGGAGGGAGGGATTTAACTAGGGGTTGGATGCCACCCTGCAGGGCTGCCATGGCCGCCCCCTGCACTGTCGAATGTCTTAGCATGGCATTGCATTTATATCCCACTTAGTTTCTTGCAAGGAAGCCGGGGCAGCTTGGGCGATTCTCCTCGCCTGCCTTGGCCAGGGAGTCAGACGTGGCTCCACGCCAGGGCCCCTTCCAGCGTTCTGCTCCAGCGTTCTGTTCTTCCCTGCGTGGGGCTTCTGAACTGGTGCAGCGTTCATAAATAGGGCACCCGCCCCCCCGGCCACCGGCCCACAAGTCGGTGCAGGCCAGAGTTCTGCCAGAGCAAGGAAAGCTTGATTTGCACAGGGCTTCCTTTCCCTACCACAAAACGCCCCAGGGGGCAAAATACGGAGTGCCCGGGGCGGCTTCATGCAGTTCCTGCAGGCACTCGGAAGAGGAAATCGGGCGCAGTGCCAGAGCACCGGGTCTTCGTGCCAAAGGCGCCTGGCTCAGCCCCCAGCGTGTCCCGGATGGAAAGCTCCGGTGGCCGGTGCTGGGAAGCGTGTTTCCGTGGTGCGTGCGTGTGCGAGGGGACTTTCCACATGTCTCGCACACTACTTTCCCCTCGGCATGCAGTGGCTTCCCGTGAAGGGTGACACAATGCGGCCCGGGCATCAGCAGTGAGCAAACCCTGGCGACGCGGGCAGGGCAGGGCTGGGGCAAACGCCATCTTCCGATCTTCCATCCCTGGCCTCATCCAAGCTGCTTCTGCACATGTCTGTGCTTTATTGGCTCTGTGTTTCTCCATCACCCTCTCTCTTTCCTACCCTCCAATAAAGAGCAAATCCCACCGGATTTTCCGCCTGCAGGACAGACCGTGGCTGATTCGTCGAGTCTGCATTAAGCGCTAGTTATCCGTGATGGGGCAGATGCGAGGGGGGGCTGTGTGTGGGACCTGCACCACCCCATTTTCAGCCTGTGGAGCCCACCCACTCATTTTGGGAGCTCGGCATCCGATCCACCAAACGGCTGGCCAAACCCCGACCTGGGCCCATCCGTGGAACACAGCGGGTGGAGGGAAGAAAAACGCAGCTTGAGCAGGCATCGGAGGGCAGCCAGACTGCCCCCGGCCCCCTTTCCCCCCAAGACCACCATGGAAGCCCCTCTTCTCAGCAGGGCTTCCGTTTAGCTCTGGAGTGCAGCGCTGAGCTTAGATTTAGATGTCAGCAAAACAAAAAACCGAGTGGGAGATAAGTTAACCCCCCCTCTCTGATCCTGCACTGCTGAGCTTTCAGTCGCTTCTTTCCAGCCGTTTCCGCTTTATGAGAATCTGGCCACAGGCCTCCTGTCCCACTCGCCTTCCGGCCTCGCATCCCCCTGGGCCCAGCGGTGGTCCCGAGCGGAGGCAGGCACTGAAATGGCCACAAAGAGGGGCCTTATCCATTGAAACGGGGCCTGAGTAGTATCGATTTCCACGGGGGTCTCTTGAAAAATGTGTACTTGCTGTCTCTTGTGTGTCTTGTATCAGGGTCGTGTGTGACTTCTGTAGTTTTGTGGTTTTAGTGCTTGCGCTTGTTCTGCTGCTGCAGCCCAATTTAGCCACCTTCCGACTTTAAGGATCGTGCGGATTCCATCCCGGTTTAATCCGTGGAATCACATTTGAATTTTGAGGGGAAGGCAGGGGGTTGTGTCCCGTGTTACTCCTACTTAGAGTAGATCCACTGAAATGAATGGGACTTAAGTTAAACTGCCACTGGATACAACTCATTCCCCCCACCCCCCAGCCCCTTTTTTTCTTTTTTAATAATACCCAGATTTCACAGTGAAATTCAGTGCTCCAATGAAAGACAAGACCGGGGCTGCCTCTTTTGAGAGGGTTCAATTTCAGGTCTACTTGAACAAGAAAACTGCCTTCCCCTATTAAATCTGCCCGAGCATCTTTCTGCTTCATTACACATTTAAAATTGGTGGATGGCAGTTTCTGAGCAGGGCCAAATGAACTGGTGCCCAGCAACTCCAATGGGACCCAGTGTGGAGGAGAAAGGACAGGTGAAGAATTGCGATCCGTTTTTCTTGACTGGGGAGGGCAGCGGTGTGGGAGTCCCTTTCCCTTTGGGGTATAGTACTGGGAATCCATCTCTTGCCTAGTGTTGGGCAATCCCTTCCTTTTAACCAGAGTTTTGCTAGTTTTCTGTTTCCCCTATAAAGCACAGTGTGGACCCTTGTGAATCTTTGCCCTAATAACCCCGCAACCTAATCTTTGCCCTAATAGCCCCGAATGTTCTTGGGGAAACTGCCCGGGTGTAGGTCTATTTGTGAAGGTTTGTTTTCCTGGCAGGGGGGGATTGCTTTGGGGTGCCTCAAACCAGCAGGTTGATGAAGCATTTGCTTGGATTAGAGCATTCTGGCCTTTCAACCGAGCTCACCAAATTTCAGAGCAAAATAAACATTAAGAACCTTCAAAAATCCACTGGAAGCAGCAGAAGCAAGACAGGCATAAAATGTTCGGCTCGCCAGGGCTTTTCCCTCTTGTTTTCCTCAGATTAAATTGAAAGTTTGGGGGAAAACCAGAAGGTCTTTGCCTGCTAGGCACCAGTCCGGCTTTTCTGGGCAAGGTGTGCCCCGATGCCGAGAAGACCCTTCTCTGGTGCCCCCTTGGGATGGCGGAGTGCTTCCCCGGGAGTTCCTGGTGTTCTCATGTGCTCTCGGGCAGTCCTCCGGGTCGGGCCGTTGAAGAGGATGCCCGCGGCATGCATGGCACAGCCTTCCGCCTGGCGCCTTAGATGAGTTGGACTGCAGCAAAGCAGGATGCTGGGACATGTGGTCCAGCGCACCTGGGAGGCGCCAGGGTCTGGCCAAGCTCCCCTTTGCTCACCCAAGTGGGGTGCCGTGTTGCTCAGAGACGGGCGGGCGTCCGGCTGGAAGGGCAGGGCAGAGCAGAGCAGGGCAGAGCCTCGGGGAAGAGCTGCCCGGCGCCAGGCTGGGTGCGCCAGAGGGCGAGGCTTCTCACGTTCTCCGCATCCCTTCCAGGTGGCGCCTGGGAAGCATCCGCACCTACAACCCCGAGCAGATTATGCTCAGTGCAGCCGTGCGCCGGTCCAGCCGAGATGTGAACATCATGAAAGAGAAGCTCATCTTTTCGGGTAAGACGGGGAGCTCTTCCTCCGAGGGGAGCTTGATTGGCAGTGCAGAGTGCGTGCACGCGCGCTCTCTCTCTCTCTCTGATTTTTTCTTTCTTTTGCTCTTCCTGGTCTTTTAGACACCTTGTATTTTCTTCCACTGAAAGTCCAGCGTGTCTTATACCCCCCCCCCCGCCATGCTGCTCTGACGTAGCAAAAGCCACAACACACTCTTTGTGGCACTGTAAGGAGAAACCAACTTGTGATGGCTTAGGGTGTCTAAACATGTGCAGGATTGCACCGCTAGGCTTGCTTCCGCACATCAGATGTGTCGGAGCCGCAAAAGCCCGTGTGTGTGTAGCCACGGGTCTCGTGGCCGATGCTCCTGGGAGAGTGCGTGGACAGCAAAGGCTGGCTGTCTTGTAATCAACGTTTTATCCGTGCTTTTAAGACCTGGCAAGAGTCCTTTAGTCTTCAGTGTGCATTGCTTCTGTTCCTTTTATTTCTAAAAACAAAACAAGCATCCCACTTTTTCACAGAGCCAGTTTGTGTTCCCAGGGCAGCTTCGGGGTATCATGCAAACAGAATGGCCTGTGATTTGATCGGCTTTATGGCAATTATATTTCTAGACCTGTTCTACGTTTCAATACAATGCCAGCTGCCTTGAGAGGATCCACCTCAAATGTGGCACGGAAGTGTTGAACTAGAAAAGTAAAACAGATAGCACGGGGCGGATGAAACGGGCACGACTCAGAACAGAAGCTCCGCAGTCAGTCGAAAATAGGCACAGCCGCCTGGGAAAAACCAAAATTAGTTGTGCCCTGCAGTTGTTACTTTCATAGAAGGCCGGACTCCCTGGAGAAGGCAATCCTGCCAGGGAAAGTTGAGGGCAGAAGATGACGACCAAACTGGCGAGGGATCAGTTCCAGACAGGGAGCCCCGTGTTTCGTTGGCAAGGGCTGGCAATGGAACAACATCCTGTTTTTCGGAAGTGTGAGCCACCTCCCCGTGGGGCCTTTCCGTGCCGCCAAACACTTTGCGATCGATGGATGGATGGGCTTGCCGGGCGCAAGCTGGCGCCATGCCGTCGGGCGGTCGGGGCGGCTGGTGGGTTGCCCGAATCCAGCCGGAGTGGTCCGCAAGCCATGCTGCTGGATCCGGGCCGGCCCACGCGCCCCCGCTGCCGCGGCCTGCCGTGTTGTGTGAACGCAGCCACTGTGTCTTCCAGGTTCTAGCCACTAGATGGCCTGCGGCTCACTCTCCGTTTCTTTTCTTAAGCCTGTGCAAGGTAAGGATGCCCAGTGGTGGAAGCGTCGGCGCTAACACACTTGGTGGAGGGTTGCTGGAAGCCCCGCACATCACACGCTCTGGTGGATTTGGCCTTGCTCCCCTGCTTGAGACATTTCACTAACCCAAAACCATCTCTCGTCCTTCGTTGCACTGTGCTTGCCTGTCCGACAGCAGCTAGAATGGAGCCGCGGTCGGGTGGACCCACAGTTGGCTGCAGAATCGGGACCAGGATAAACAGCTTGGGACCAGGATACCCGAAGGAATCTTTTTCCCTATATGCCCTCCCGCCCCCTAAGAGCTGCAGCAGAGGCCCAGCTCCGGGAGCCCTCCTTGAAGGAGGTTAGGAGAGTGAACACCCAGAGGAGGGCCTTCTCTGTGGTGGCGCCCCAACTGGGGAATGCGCTCCCCAGAGAGGTTTGCCTGTTGCTGACTTTACATGCTTTTCGGCACCAGGTTAAAACCTTTTTATTTAGCCAATATTTTAAAGTTTAAACATTTTAATCTGGTTTTATTAACATCCTCAGTCATATTTTATCTTGTTACTGATTGCTGTATTTATTGTTTATTTATCACATTGTAACCTGTCCAGAGACGATTGGTATAGGACAGGATAACAATAGCCCAAATAAATAAATAAATCGGACCCAACGGGCGCTCATCGACGACGCCTGCTCCGACTGGGGAAGGGAGGCGAGCGGGGTGCTGCAGGGTCCATCCTGGGCCCGGCGCACCTCACCATTTGCACTAATGACTCTGATGAGAAAGCTCAAGGAATAATTAGCCCGTTTGCAGAAGACACAGCCTTGGGTGGGATGGCTTAATACCCTGGAAGACAGAAGGGAGATTCGAGGTGATCGTGATAGGCTGGTGGCTGGGCCGAGTGGAATTCAAGAGGGGCAAATGCCAAGTTCCGCAGCCGGGAAGAGGGACCCAAATGCAGAGTTGCAAGCTGAGGGATGCTTGGCTCAAGAGTGCTGCAATTGAGAAGGATCTTGGAATTGTTGTAGGTCGCTTGCTGGGTATGAGTTCAACCATGGGATGCGGCTGTGGAAAGGGTAAGCACTCTTTCAGGCTGCATTCGTTGAAGCATCACTTCCAAGTCCTGTACCGGTTCCACTTCACTCAGCACGGGTGAGGCCTCACCTGGAGACCTGTGTCCAGTTCTGGGCAACACAGTTTAGGGAAGATGCAGACAAGCTGGGAAGGGTTCAGAGGAGGCAAAACGGATGATCCGGAGACTGGAAACAAAGCCCCGTGAGGAGAGATGGAAAGAACTGGGCATGTTTAGCCTGGGGAAGAGGAGAGATGCGGGAGACACGATAGCACTGCACAAGCACTTGAAAGGCTGCCACGAAGGCCAGGATCTCTTCTGGGTCACCCCAGGGTGCAGGACATGGAGTAACGGGCTCAGATTCCAGGATGCCAGATTCCGGCTGGACATCCAGGAAGAACTTGCTGACTCTTAGAGCAGTACCGCAGTGGGACCCCTGACCCGAGAGAGGTTGTGGGCTTCCGCACATTAGAGGCATTCAAGGCACAACCGAACCCCCTTCAGAGAAGGAGGGTTTAACTGGGAGCCCACTGAGCGGGGGGGTGGTCCGAAGGCCTTATGGACCCCTTCCAGCGCCTCTCTTTTAGGATTCCCTGGTTCCCTGCACACCCACCCCAGGCTGGGAGGGCATCTTTGCAGGACAGCCCAGCAGGGGGCCAGAGATACGAGCCCCCTGGCATTGTTCCCCCGTGCACCATCTCTGCTTGCTGGCTCGCTCGCCTCCCTCTCCAGTCCAGGCAACGCTGGTGGTGGGACAGAGGTGCGGGGGGGGGGGGCGCTCACTCGCCGGCTCTCTGCCTGCCCAGCAAGCAAGGGGGAACCGGGAGGAGGAGGAGGGTGAGGCGTGCGGGCAGCTGGTGGCCACGGCAGGGGAAGGTGGACTTGCTGAAGGAGGGGCCCATGGAGGGCATCTTGCCCAGGGACCTCGGAAACCTGGGGACTCCGCAGGTCTCGGCCCTCCCGCGGGTGGGTTCTGGGTCCCAGCTGCCAGCGTTGCTTTAAACCTCAGTGGAACGTCCGATTCCAGGACGTCAGAGGCCACGGGGAGACCCGAAAGCCATCGGGGAGCCACTCCAGGCTGGACGCCTGCGCTCTCTTGCCGCCCCACGTGTGGGGGGCTGGTGTACCTTTGTTGCAGAGCCCCTGCTCCGGCTCAGCCCCAGCGGCTGCAGAGAAAGAAGCTGGACTTCGGAGGTCTCTGCTCGGGAGCCAGGGAGCGCCTGGCTCAGCAGGGCTTCCCAGGGCTCGGTGGAGCAGTGGGCCAGTTTCCGCAGAGAGCAGCGTCCGATGCCGACAGCTGTGTCAGTGCCCGCTGTCCTGGAAGGGGCTTGTCTTTGCTGCAGAGAGCCTCCAAGTGTGGAATGCAAATATTTCCCTTTTTCTTGCATAATAATAATAATAATAATAATAATAATAATAATAATAATAGTAATAATAGCAATGATACACAGCAGAAGACTTGGATTCACTGTAGGTTATTCTTCACTGAGTTTTCGCCTTCTTTGCCTAGTGTGGCATTCGAAAGTATTAGGGAGAGGAAGCGCCCAGCTCACCTGCAGTCCCCATCCAACAAGCTCAAAGTTTTTTCTTTCCCCGGCATTTTAATAATTAATTGGTCTTATCCTCGTTTTTATCACTATTTATTGGATGCAGTGTGTTGGTTTGTGTGTTGTTGCTACGGTTTCTTTGTTCTTGGTTTGTTGGGCTTTTGTCCTTGGTAAGCCGTCCGGAGACTTTTAGTAATAGGACGGCATAGGAAACCTCCAAATAAATAAATAAATGAAAGGGGCTCAGAGACACAGTCACCCGCGGAACAATCAGGTGAAGGACTGGCTGATAGACGGGCTGGTGCTTGTCTGGTCGCTTGAGCTCCTGCCCTTCCGCACAAAGAGCCAGCCTGCCAGATCTCCGTTCCACTGGCCCGGCTTGAGACTGCCGAGCGGCAGTTGGCCTTCTGGTCTCCGTGTTTGCGTATGCGAGAACGAATGTGAGCCGAAGAGGGAGGTGTGGGCAGCTCCTCCGTGGCGGGGGCCGTTCTCGGGAGAGCAGGCGGAAATTGACGCCGCCCCCACAGTGCCCGGTGCATGCGCAAAATCGCCAGGCGGAGGTGCGCCGAGCGAGCAGGCGGAGCTCGGAACCCCGTGCTCACATCACCCGCTTCACTGGCACGTGTGCACAGTTGCCCACCCGGTGGGTCTTCAGCAAAATCCTGGGCCCCGTTTGTGGGAAGGTGGGAGATAAATACATTACAACGCACAGCTCTGCACTTTCTTCACTGTCAGTGTGACACAATTTGTGTTTATGCGGCTTTTCTGCACGTTAACTATTTAATTCATGTTAATCCTGGGGTACCTTAACATGTTGTTGCAGATCGATGATCCCCAGCAGGGATTGAGGTGGGGAAGGGGGATTTATGATTGTCCCCTTTGATGTCCCACTCAGCAACTGGATCTCTTCCTTTTCGGCCTTCTTTCCTCTTCAGAAATCAGCGGCGGGGTGGAAGGCACGGACGAACTCTCCCTCTGTTCCGAAAACGGCTACGCCAATGAGATCGTCACGCCCATGGACCACCGAGAAGTGAAGCTTCGCATCAACTGAGCGGGCAGACACGGGGGGGGGCTCCATAACCCCCCCCTTCTCTACTCGTGTGCAACAGCTCTTCCATGAGCAGCTCGGGACTGAACTCCTTTTACTAAACCATAAAGACACTGACTCTGTAAGGGTGGCCGGGTGCCTCTCCAGAAACTGAAGCTGGACTGGGTTTCTTTATTGTTTTGTAAATATCCCCCCCTTTGTGGCCCTTTTCTTGCCTGGTGTTGGGAGGGGGCAGGATTGGCCACGTCCGCGAGGAGAAAGCTGGTGGCCGCTGGGCTGGGCCATCTGCCGGGCGACCCGGCGAAGAGAGACGCCCCACCGACGGCCCCCTCCCCTCCCCCCCCTCGTGCAGCGATTGTTAGCTGAACTTATTTAAATATGTATGTTGTGATGGTTGCGTGGAGCCTCCTCCTTGTTGCGATGCTTAATGCGGCGGTCCTGGGGCGCGGAGGGCCGAGGGGGCATCTTGTTCCAGAGTGACAGATGCTCGAAGGGGAGGCCCTCCAGGGGGGCTCCCTCGCCCGTTTCAAAATGGGGGTGCACAGCAGCTCCCTGGGACGGTCCTGCCGGCGCCCGTGCTGAGGCGGGATGGAGGACAAGCCCTGCTGGATCAGACCTCAGGTCCATCCAGCCCAGCGCTCCACACACACGGTGGCCAACCAGCTGCTCAGGACCCCTCCAGCAGGATGGGTGCAGGACCTCTGCCTGCCCAGCTCCTCAGCAGTGGGGGCATGCAGGCATGCCAACCTCTGGAGAAGGAGGGAGCAGACGGCCAGCAAGCCTAGTAGTTACAGATCGCCCTCCAGAGGTAGTCCGAAGGCTTATTCACACTCGCATCTTTATGTGCCGTGGTGGCTCGCTGCCAGAGCCCGCGACTGCTCTGTTAACCATGAGCTTACACTATCGTACGCTTAATCTGTCTGCAGGTTGCACGTCAGGAGTCACCCAAATCAATATCAAAAGAGTCCAAGCTGCGGACTCGCCCTTTTAGTGCCACAGGGCCCAGGTGAAAGTCGGGTTCAGACCAGTCAGCGTTAACCACCCTCCAGTTCCCAGAAACTGAGATCTTGACACGAAAACTTGCAAGGCAGTTTCTCATTTCAGGGGCCAACAGCTGAGCCCGTCTCTCGCCCTGTCACCGGTTTCCCCTCCTTCACTGATCTCTCACCCAGGGATCATTTTCAGCTGACGTCTCTTCCCAGTTCCGCCAGGGACCCCTTTCCCCTTCCAACTGTGGACCCAGAATGTGGACTCGATCCGCCTGGGTCTGGGCTGGCACGGTTTCTCTTACACTCTGAAGGACACCTTTTTGGTCCTCAAATGTGGAACCCGGTGCTGGAGGAGAGCTCTGCCTGGACCCACAGAAAGACAAAAGGGGTCCTATAGCAAATCAGAGTATAGCTTTTCCTAGAAGCAAAAATAACAGAGCTGAGCTCGCGATACTTTGGGCCGAGCAGGAGAAGGCAAAACTCCCTGGAGAAGACAGTCCTGTCCTGCTAAGGGAAGCCGAAGGTATCAGAGGGAGGAGGCCAGCTATGAGACGGATAGGCTTCCTCACGGAAGCCGCGGCCTTGCATCTGGGATCACGGAGAGCACATGTTGGAGTCCCATGCGGGTTGCCGTAACTCACAGATGACCTGACGGCGCACAGCAGCAGTCGCTTTCCGGCAGGATGTCATCTACCTGCATTCTTGGAGGCATGTCTCCTTTAAAATACACAGAAGGGGGGGGTCCTGCTTGTTCCTGCTGCTAGCGCCCCCACCCCCGGGTGTGAGAATCACGTTCAAAGCTGCTTGGGGGTGTTTCCAGCTGGCTCTGCAGTGCGTGTTTTGCCCTTGGGTCTTGTATTGCAACCGAGCACATGATTTCTCCGTGGAGATGGGTCCCTTCACCTGTGCACACCTGCCTGCACACTGAGAGCTCCAAACCATGCCTTTGGGTGGAACCTTGATTCCCCCCCGCCCCTGCACTGTTATGCTGGGGGCTTTTAAAATATGGCAGGACCTCAAATGCACAGTGACTCTAAAGGCAACTGGAGAAGAAGCCGAGCTGTGAATTTAAGAAGAATGCTTGGTTTGAGTATCTCATCCTGCCACGACGCTAGTGTGGCCCTATGCAGGCTGCCCCGACTGAGCCTCAGCTGCCTGACCGCTGCATAAAAACGGGGTTAAATATACCTCCAAGGTTTCTGGAACAGTTACTGAATGAATAGCAAAGATCTGTGCAGCAGCTTAAAGGCTAACAAGCTTATTCTGGCATAAGCTGGTTTGGATCACGGTTGACTTCCTCAGACAGGTGAATGTTAGGGAGAGGTTCACGAACTCTGTAAACCTGAAACTGTCCGTAGTACTCCCTGCATCTCATGAAGTGGATTAAAGTCCATGAAGGTTTACATTAGAATGAACTGGCAGCCTTCAAAATGCCACAAGATTCCTCTTTAATTTTGCTACCCCCTGGAAATACTTACCATATATTGAACCCCTATAAGCCTTTTCATCCCTCACACACGCTACTTGGTAATTTATTATATAATAATAACATAAATATGTCAAAAGTGGGCTAGATCAAACAACTATCGGGTGGATCCACAGCTGCCTACAGAACTGGACCCAAAGATAGTTCTTCAACGGCACCTTCTCAAACTGGAGGGGAAAACAAGTGAGTTCATTCCAGGGCCCCCTCCTGGGCCCATTGCTGCTCAACATTTTAATTAATGACTTGGGTGAGGAAGTGCAGAGAACAATTAACAAATCTGCAGAAGACAACTGGGTGGGACAGCTAATACCCTGATAGAAGTGCTGGGCTGGAAGCAGAATGAAATTCAACAGGGACGAAGGCCCAACTTCTGCACCCGGGAAGAAGAGACCGGATGTTTTGTTACGAGACAGGAATCCTTGGCCCAGCAGTACTGCAGATGAGAAGGAACGTGGAGTTGTTGCAGATCACAAGCTGAATACGAGGCGACTTTGTGATGTGGCTGCAAAAAGGGGCGAATGCTATTTTGGGCTGCATCACTTCCAAATCCCGTGAAGTCGTTCCCCTCTGCTCAATGCTGATCGGGCCTCACCTGGAGACCCGTGTCCAGTTCTGGGCAACACAGTTTAAGAAAGATGCAGACAAGCTGGAAAGGGTTCAGAGGAGGGCAGAAAGGATGATCCGGGGACTGGAAACAAAGCCCCGTGAGGAGAGATTGAAGGAACTGGGCACGCTTAGCCTCGAGAAGAGAAGGCTGAGCAGAGATGTGGTACGTATTGCAAGCCGTCCAGAGACAAACCTTAATGGACGGGATAGAAATGCCCTAATAAATCAAAAATAAAATAGCGCACGTCCAGGTGGTGGGCTCTTCCACACTGGATGCACCCAAGATGCAGCTGGGCAGCCATCCGAGGGCGATGGTTTAACTGGGAGTCCTGCATGGAGCAGGGGAGCGGACCCTCTTGCCCCTCCCAACTCTGCCCCCTGCGATTCCTTCTCCTGCCTTTTTGTTCTTGTGAAGAATAAAGGCAGCTTCTCTCTTCCTCTCCATTTTCACCTTCACAACAACCCTGCGAGGTAGGTTAGACTGAGACTCGGTGGCTGACTCGGAGTTACGAGCGTCATGGCTAAGTGGAAATCAGAACCCAGATCTGCCAAGTTGTAGTCCAACACCCTACGGGCTTCTCTCTCTCGCTCGCTCGCTTTCTATGCGTGTGCACGCTCGTGATTTGCACGGCAGCCAATAAGTGAACCAAGCTTTGTCAGAGGCCAGTCTGTGAGGAGTTCCCAGCTTGGTGATCCCTCCAGTTTAATTTCCTTTCAGGGCAATTTTGCAGGCGCTTACTCAAACGAATTGCTCCCTCCGGGGTCCGATTAGTTTTCCAGATGGGCTGCCGCCTCTAAGCTGTCCCCAGGGTGAGCTCTCTCCCTCTGCACCCTCCCTTCTGCCGTGTTTGGGGGCTCCCCCCCCCCCACCAATTTGACAGCTGCAGCGAATGCCACGCACACGTCATAATGCGCGGAACAAAAGCGAGTTTTGCTCATCTCTGCTGCCTGGCTTGGCAGAACGATGGCTTTTGTATTCGTCTTTGTCCGCTGCAAGCCGCAGGACGTGCTCCCAGCTTTGTCCTGCACTGATTCAGGTGCCAGAGTTGGAACGCTGAGGACCCTTTGATGCCTTTTGGGCAGGCGCACCTGCTCCAGGTGATGTCCGCCTTGGCTGACCAGGTGAGGAAGCTCTCCCTGCGCAGAGGGAACGGTGTCTCCAAGCAGAGAGGCCAGGTAAGGGCGGCTGTGAGGCAGCTCAAGGGGCTGGAAGGCCAGATGATTGCAGCGGGGCTTGGGTTCGAATCCTCCCTTAAGCCACAAAGTGTTCCAAGGTTATTTTAAGCAACCTGTTATGTCACAGGATTACGCAGCTTCCCAGGGCTGTGAGGACAGAAGGGGCTTACCTGAGTTCATATTCCTCCTTAGATTAAGGACAGAACACAAAATAGATGCTTCTTTTCTGAGTACACCTATTCAATAGGTGTAGTAGGTGTTTTTATCTTCTGATGCTAGGATTTTTTGGGGGGTGGGAAGTATATCCCACACTGACTGCTGCTAGTCAACCCCCCCCCCACCCCAAGCTGGTTTCTGACTTCCCTAGAAAGCATGGTTCTGAGTTATCTCAAGGGAACGATAGCTTCAAATTTCCCAAAAGATGAAAATTGTCAGAAGCAAGATGTGTGGCAATGAATGTATAGGTTAAATTATGTCTGGATGTGGAAATAACATTTTCTGAACAGGATGAAACATTCCAGATATGCCCTATACTCTCCATAGAAATTGTGGAACGATGCATCCTATTAAGCTAGTCACTCCAACTTGAGTTGATAGATCATGATGCTAGTCCTCATAGAAATGCCTAGCTTTGGGGGCTTTGTTAAGCTGTTTTACGGAAGCGTTGACCTTTGAACTCAGGAGATGAGATGTTTGCAAAAGGGACCGGAAAACGCTTGGGCTGATGGAAGGGAATCCTTTCCCTTCGGAGTTCTCTGGCAGCAGAATCCAGCCTTCCCAAAATCAGTGCCTTTGGATGTGTTGGACTGCAATTCCCATCATTCCCAGACAGAATTTCCTGTGTACTTGCTTTGTTTCAGAGAATTTGCACCAGGTGTTGCCCTGTTAGGATATTCTTGGTCTGCAGTTGTACACGTGATATTTTTATGGTTGCTACAAAGAAGGCAGATCAGATGGGTCTGGAGAATATTTAGCATGATTTCTCAATGTGGTCGATGCAGAAGGTAGACTGGATTTTTCACCTCCATCCCTTTGGGGTGTGGCTCTAATATTTGCTTTGGCTAGAAAGATAACTTAGGCCTCCATCCCACGGAGTTCCTTTGTGCAATCGATGGGTTTTCTTGCTCCTGACGGCTCCGTCTGAGAAGCGTTTGTAGAGGCAGTATAGCAACAAACTGCGTCTGAGAGTCCCAGGGCATTTTGAAAAGCCGACACACGTGTGGCATAAGCTCCCATGGGCGACAACCCAACTCATCAGTGAATGATAGAAACATAGAAACAGGGCAAGTCAGAAGGGGCCTCCTGGGCCATCTAGTCTGACCCCGGCTCCAACCGGCTCCGCTCACGACATGCCCGCCATGTGCACGTCCAGCCTGTCCTTGAACACCCGCACCAATGATGTTCTTATGTTCTCCATCAGAATGCACCGGCCAATGAAAGATGATTCCAGTTGCAGAGCAAGCCGCACTGACGAAAATACTTCCCTGGAGCAAAGCAACGAAAATCTCCATGTGAAACTCGGCAGTGGGTCGTGCCACACCGAGCAGATCCTTCAGACGCTCGACGCCAATCGGCAAAATGGCGCTCTGACCGATGTGGTGCTTGCACTGAACGGGCGGGAGTTTCCTTGCCACCGGGCCACCTTGTCGGCCAACAGCACCTACTTTCGGGCCATGTTTGCCAGGGGGCTGAAGGACAGTGGCCAAGATACGATCAGCCTGCCAGAGGTCTCTGCGCACAGCATGAGCCTTGCCCTGGAGGACATGTACGGAGGACACGCCACCATTCAGGAGGACAACGTGGAAGGACTGCTGGAGTTGTCCAGCTTGCGCCAGATCCCCAAACTCCAGGATGCGTGCGTCCTCTTCTTGGAAGGCCAGCTGCGCCCTGGGAACTGCCTGAGGGTCATGAGGTTTGCTGAGAACTTCTCTATCGCATCTCTGGCCGAGAAGAGCAAAAGGGTTATGGCGGAAGGTTTTGTGGAGGTGGCCCACCATGAGGAGTTCCTGGACCTGGAGGCAGCGGAGCTGGGGGCGTGCCTGGTGAGCGAGCAGCTGGTGGTCTCCAAGGAGGAGGCCGTCTTCGAGGCGGTCATGCGCTGGGTGCGCCACCACGGGGCCACCAGGAGAGGGGCCCTGAAGGACCTGCTGGCACATGTGCGGCTCCCCCTGCTGGACCCCGTGTACTTCCTGGAGAAGGTGGAGACGGACCAGCTCATCCAAGGATGCAAGGACTGCCTGCCTTTGCTGCAAGAAGCCCGCAGGTATCACATCCTCGGCACCGAGGTCAGCTCCGTGCGCTGCCGGCCTAGAAGGTAAACGTGCCAGTTACGCAACTCAGCAGTGGGCAGTGGGCAAGTCCCAAATGCCCTCTCTGGATGGGCAGTGCCTGGCAGCAGTGACCCACGCCCTGGTAACTTCCTGACTGGACTACTGTAATGCGCTCTATGTGGGGCTGCCCTTGAAGACGGTCCGGATACTTCAACTGGTCCAGAATAGAGCCGCCAGGTTGTTAACAGGGACCGGCAGGCATGAAGATATAATGCCGGTCCTTTTCCACCTACACTGGCTACCAGTTGAAGCCCGGGCCCGATTTAAGGTGCTGGAGATGACCCATAACGTCCTAAATGGCTTAGGGCCTGGTTGCCTGAAAGAGCGTCTCCTTTCATATGTGCCTGCCCTCCCCTTAAGAACTGGGGCAGAGGCCCTTCTCTGGGAGCCCTCCCTGAAGGAGATTGGGAGGGTGACTACCCAGAGCAGGGCCTTCTCTGTGGTGGCACCCCGATTCTGGAATACGCTCCCCAGAGAGGTTCGCCTGGCGCCGTCACTTTATTCTTTTCGGTGCCAGACCAAAACCTTTTTATGTTCCCTAGGTTTTAAGAGCGGATTGTTTTAATTGGGGTTTTATTGTTAGTCGAATTTTGAGGATGCTGTGTTTTATTTTACATTTTGTATTGTAAAACCATCTTGAGACTTCGGTAAGGGATGGCCTAGAAAAAAAATGAGTGAAGGAATGAACGAATGAATGTTTGGGACGCCCACTGCCCCAATGGCCAGGAGCTGGGTATCTGCTCCCAGCCCTTCCCAGGTCCACTTCGTTCCTTCGTTCTGAACCATTTCTGCTCTGCTTTTCTGTGCTTTCTGAACTCAAGGTGGTTCAGCGTAGGGAAGCCAGGACCTGGGCGGGACCATAAATCAAACGTATATCGGCATTGATTTAGCACCAGCAAGTGTGTACTAGAGCCCGTTTTGCTATTTTAGCTTTAACAACCCGGGTTCCTTCATTACTGCCTGCTAATTGCTATCTGTGCTTCCCTCCCTGATCGTCATGGCGGTATCACGGATAAAACCCCCACGCTGGTTATGGCCTGGATGCTTTTGGGATATTGTGTGGGGTGACTGAAGGGGCACATCTCATCCCGTGTTTGTCTTCCTCTCTCTGGGTTTCGTCTTCTCCTTCCTTGTCATATTCATTTATTTCTTGTTTAAGGAGAGAAGTTCAGTTTCTCTGGCTTCATCAGAGAAATTCATGGGCATCCTTCCTCCAACCTGGCACTGTATAGTTGAGAGCTAAACTACAAGCCCCATCATCCCCAGGCAGGCAGTACCTACAGGAAATCTATTTTGCTGCAGCTGGAGGGTAAGAAGGAAACATGGAAAGCTAGGCATGGATTAACCCCATGTTAGAAACATAGAAACAGAGTGAGTCAGAAGGGGCCTCATGGGCCATCTAGTCTGACCCCAGCTCAGCCCATGATATGCCCACCACGTGCATGTCCAGCCTATCCTTGAACGCCCTCACCAATGGGGCCTCAACCACCTCCCTGGGAAGCCCATTCCATGCCCTTGGGGTCCTAATCATCAGGAAGTGCTTCCTGGCATACAAGTTGAACCCTGGATTTTAAGACAGATGCTGCATTATTTTCTTATTTTCACTGAGTTGCTCCTCTTGGGTTCCCCTCATCCATCAGACCCTTTATCAAACAGTTATGTCGATGGATAAGGTCAAGCAGCTTCTCCGGTTCAGTCCTAGTTCTTTTGCATCGAACCCTGAAAGGAACTACAAGAAGACCACCAGGTGGACCCCCATGACAGTCAGGGAGGGGCTCCAGTCCCTGCGCAGCCCTGATGCTCACTGACTCGGGCCAGTCATGGACTCTCAGTCCAGCCTACCTCGCAGGGTTGTTGTGAGGATGATATGGAGTGGATGAGGAGGATTATGTAAGCTGCCCTGGGTTCTTGGGGTGGTGATGTCAGGAAATAATAATATTTATTCATTTATTTGATTTATATGTCTCCCCACTAGTCACTGGCTACATCACAACGATAATAGTACCTGTTATGTAAGACATGGTGGGCTGAAATGATTGCATTTTCTTTTATCAAGACTAATTAAGAGATTCTGGCATGCAAACACACTGCCTCCAGCGCTAACTTTTCAGCTGCAGCCTCTCAAAACAGTCCTGTGCTTTTCGCTTTCATCAGTAGATCTCTGCTTTTGGCTGTTCCCGTTTACTGCTTCCTGTGGAGTGAAGCACAAGGGCTGCAGTGCAGATTTTAAGTGTGGGGCAGCCCCTGCTTTATGAGGGTTGGTCAAGGTTGCTCCATCTGCCTGAGCCCCGAGACATCCCCCATTGCTTCCCCTGCTCCAGATCCATGGAGTTAGCAGAGGCGATCGTTGTGATCGGCGGCTGCGACAGGAAAGGGCTTCTGAAGCTCCCTTTTGTGGACGCGCTCCATCCCGAGAGCAAGCAGTGGAAGCCGCTCCCCAATGTGCCCGGATGTGCCAAATCGGAGTTTGCAGCCTGCACCCTGAAGAACGACATTTACATCTCTGGTAAGAGGCGGACTAAAATACTAGCCAATTTTACCTGGAAGCTCTTCAGGTCAGGAACTTCCACTCTGGGGCAGGTGTGGCAATTTCAGAACGGGGAAAAAACTGCACAGTGGGTGGCGAAGCAGTGAGTGGGGAGAAGGGGAACAGGAGCACCTGTGGAATCTCAGACGGCCAGATGTGGTTCCCGGGCAGCTGGATTTGGCCTGCTGGCCTGCAGTCCTTCATCCCTGGAATACTCGAGAGGAACATGGTGACTGAGGCCAATGCGGACATTCACTGATCTGCCCCATGTTGTAGCTTCCATGTAGCCTGAAGTGCCTGACCCTGCCTAATCTTGGAAGCTAAGCAGGGTCAGGCCTGGGCAGAAGTGGGATGGGTGACTTGAGTGTATGATTCTATGATTGTTGCTGTCAACTGCCTAGAGAGCTTTGGCTATGGGCGGTATAAAAATGTAATAATAATAATGTGTTGCCATCCAGCGACCATCTTTGCAGCTTAGGGTTTCTCCAGTGGGGATTTTAACTTGCCACTTTCAGGGTTCCCGCGTCCGAACTCCTTGTGAGATTAAGATGAGCTCCTTTACACTTTTCTTTTCCTAGGTTTTTCTTTCTCTGCCTTTCTGTATCTTCCATACCCAACCACAGGGTGGTGCAGCAGTTCTGTGGACTGTGCCGTTTCAAAGTCGCACCTGATTTTCCTCAGTCTAAAACAAGCTGCGGAAATGGTTGCAAAAAACATGAGAGGCCCCGAAAGATTCCGTGCAAAGCACCATTCCTTTTATTTATTTATTTATTTATTTATTAAAACATTTTTATGCCGCCCCATTCGCCGAAGCCTCGGGGCGGCTTACAACAATAAATAAAACCACATAAATTAAAATATACGTATTAGAATACTAATAATAATTTAAAATACAATATACACACAACATAAAATAAGCTGCCCTGGCCAGGTAAAATTCAGTAGTATTAACATTTAAAATGTTGCTTAAATAAAAACATTCCTTGAATAGGGATGCACTGAAGCTCCACCAAATCCATTCCTCCAGCATTTATGGGCTTGCTTTCACACTCGGCCCTGTCTTGCAAAGTGGAGGGCATTCCATGAATGCTTGCAGAACTAAGATTGTCCCACCAGCAATTCTTCTGTGTCACATGTAGCACCGTTAAAACGGCACATGGCACGGAAGGCAGGCACCGATTCTCCCTTCCACTGGTCGGCACTCAATGCCACACCTGCTGCCCGTGGTTTTCAGCCCGCCGGATCCTGCTCTGTGCTTGCTTTCGCAGGGGGCCACGTCGCCAGCAGAGAGGTCTGGATGCTGAGCTCCCAGCTGAACGTCTGGATCAGGGTTGCCCGGTTGCAGAAAGGCCGGTGGAGGCACAAAATGGCCAGCCTGCAGGGAAAGGTACTTCTCCTCGCTCTCCCCTGGCCGGGAAGGCCGGCGCTCCGAATTGCCTGAGCTGGGAGCGCGTGCGACGCCGGGCACTGCTGGCTGAGCGAAGGCAGCTTTCCCTGGCCAGGGGCCTCCCGGGCACGGGGTTCTTGTTGGGGCAGCGGGACTTCCGGCTTGGTGTCGGTCCATCTAAGGGTGTGGGCTGCACAGAGGAGAACAAAGAGAAGCCCCTTGCGTGTAGGGCTTCCCTTGGCTGCACAAGTGCTGTAGAAAGCTACCGATTTCTTTCCACGGAACGCAAATACAGCAATCACGGAGACAGCAATCAGCAAACCCTCAGCGTATCTGGGGGCCAGTATGGTGTGGGGCTCAGACGGGGATCCAAGAGATCTGCGTTCCGGTCCCTGCTCAACCATGGAGCTCCCTGGTTGGCTTTGGGCTGGTCAGTCGCTTTCAGCCTGTCCTACCGCACAGGGTTGTTGTTGCAAGGGTGAAAGGGAGCTGTGTGGGCCAGCTTGGGATCCTCAGAGAGGAGAAAAGCGGGATATAAATGCCATGTTGTCATTATCTTCCTGCTTGGATGCTGATTTGTAACAGGTGCAGACTTCCTCTTGTGTCGGAAAGCAAGTGTGAGTTTTCACGGACACAGGGCGAAACCTGGGCTGTCCTTGAGAGGTTGTCGCGATGCACTTTGCCTCGAGGGTTTCTTGGGGTGTGACCTCATCGCCTCTTCAGCACAAACACACCCTGTACTTTTCCACCAGGTCCCCTTGACCAGAAACAGTCCAAGCCTGAGCATCTTCTGCTTCTACAGACTGCAAGGTCTTCACCCATGAGCCCCATCTTTCTTAGGAGGTGGCTTAGATTGTGGGAGTTGTAATCCAGCCGATCCCGAGGCACTGGGGTTGGTGAAGGATTGGCTCTGGTGGCATAATTTATGATTTGATTTGGCTGTACTCAGAGATCAGGCAGCGAGCTCTGTGGGGCAGCGTCGCCCGAGACCCTCCTTGGTCGACCAGTTCTTACTGAAATCTTTTAAAATATTGTGTTCTATTCTTTTTATCTTCTCGTCTTTTATTGTTCACTGCTCTGGAATCTACTCTGATGCAGAGTGGTCTAAAATGTTTGAAATATATGTATTCAGACATTGAAACAGGCATTTGTTTGGACCTTCCCGGGGTCAGAGCGCTTTGCCAGGGGCCCGCACGGACTGGGGGGCTCCCTCGTCCTGCGTTGGGGCCCTTACCTGGCCAGATTACGCCATGATGCACCTCCTCACCCAGGTCGGGGAACAGAGGACCCTGGCTCATCCCCTGAGGGGAAGGAGAATGCTGGGGAAGGACTGCAGCTCAGGGGGTGGAACAGGAGATTCCCAGTTCAAATCCCAGCATCTCGAGGCAGGGCTGGAAAAACTCTTCCCCAAACCCACGGCCAGTCACTGCTGAACCAAGGACGGTTCCTAAGGCACAAGACAGTCTCCCATGTTCCCCTCTGATTGATGTCTCAGATGTTTGTGTGCCAGTCCGGTTTAAGTGTGGCCGTGGCGTATGGGGTGTCTGTAAGGCGTCTTGAGACTTTAGTGAAAGTCGGAGTAGAAATGGTTTTTTTTTTTGTACATTTTTTATTAAGATTTTAAACTAGAAATTTAAAAATGATCAATCATCAAATACATCGGATGTACTGGGTCAGCCCCCTATAACATATCTTTTAAACATGCTATAATCATATTCAAATTGATTTATAAAAATTTAAAGACATCTTTAAATCTAAGCCAAGTCCTGTTTCTCCAGCCAATCGTAGAAAAGGTCCCGAGTTTGATAGAAGTCAGAATCTTCCTTCTCCTTCAATAATAGAGTCAATCTGTCCATTTCTGCACAATCCAGAATCTTTTTTAAAATCAGTTCGTCAGTGGGTAGTTCCTCACTCTTCCAGTATTGAGCAAGTGCAATCCTCACCGCTGTGATTAAATGTAGTATCAAATACATTTCTTGTTTGCTAATATTTTCCGGTATAATGCCTAACAAGAAAATTTCAAGTTTAAAAGCTAAGGGTTTTTGTAGCATTTCCTCAAGCCAGGAGTAGAAATGTTTTATTAAATTAAAATTGCTTTAAAATTGAATTTCTGTAGAGGAGAAAAGGTACAGGGCTTGTTTTTGTGCCCATGTGATTCCCCCTCCATGGCTAATAAGCGCTGTTTCTGGGGACAGTCTGGATTGGGCCATGGCACAGAGGGAAGGCTGGGGTCCCCCCACCCTGATGCCATACATACCCTTAGAAAGGCCTCCCTCCTGGGGCTGCATATATCAAAATAATAACAAAGCAAGATTAGTAATAAGATTAGAAATTATGGCACAGTGATAATTTTGGAGATCTCTTGGTGGCGCCCCTTGCTCCTTGGGCCAAATAATTCGGAATTGACCCAGGCTCACATGGCAATTGTCAGACTAGTAAAATTGCTCCGTGTTGCATCCTGGTTCCTCCGTGGCCCCCCTGGCCCCACACGCAGATGGGCTTCATCCAACTGAACCCCACAGCATCCCTTTGAGGTCGGCCCCAGAGACCACGAGGGAGGGGGAGGCGCTCTGAGTTACCAGCAAGGCGAAGGAGGGATTTGTATTCTGGGCTTTCTCCTCCCAACCTGACACTCTGACCCAGGCTTCCCCCACCCAATGGATTCCACACGGCTCGGACTACAACTTCCATTCTCCCAGCGGCCTGGACCAGGCTGTGGAAGGCTGATCTGGTTAGTCACTGGAAAGGAAGCCTCATGAAATTCAGCCGTCCATCAGCCGTGCCGGCTGCAGTGCCAGGCACGGTGCCCCCCTGGGGAAACCAACTTGGCAAAGGCCATGCTAACAGCTAGCCCCATAGCTCTCCACCCCCTTCCTTTGCCTGCCCCTAAAATTAGGAAGGCAATTAGGAAAAGTGAAGAGGAACTAAAGAGCTTCTTGATGCGGGTGAAGGAGGAGAGTGCAAAAGTTGGCTTGAAACTCAACATTAAGAAAACTAAGATCATGGCATCCGGTCCTCTCACTTCCTGGCAAATA